CACATTGGTAAGAAGCTAAGCCTCCCCCCCCGCCACCCAAGATTTTCGTACAAACTAACGTTCATCCAACGCGCGGCGGCTTGCAATGCCGTGGCATGACGCAGCAACAGTTGAACCTCGCTAGCCACTGCGTTGCTCGTAGAAAAACCTTGGTTTGCTGCACCCCTCGGCAAAAATTGCCTTACTTTTCACGGGTCTCATCGCAAATCCACCCGTTCCCAGCTGAAAAGTCCAAAGCTCCCAAAGAGCCACAAAGAGCCACCGCTCCCAGCTCCCCAGCGCCCGACTCTCTGCCGCCCGCCCCCAAAATCCGCGCCTATGGCCCGCTCCAGGCGCCGTGCCAAGGGCTCCAGGTGCTGCGCCCAGCGAGAAGGCACCGAGGCCAGCAGGAAGCACTTCGGCGCCGCTATCGCCACCTCCTGAGGCTGAGGCATTCACAACCTGACAAGGTGCGTTCCTGCCATCTGCTGCATGTTTTCTAGGTCCTCCAGATTTGAGAGGTTTTTTTTAAATGGGCACCCACTTTTTTGCTGTAGTCGATTTTAGTTGGGAACCCTCCCCACCACAAAGGGTAAAAGGGCGCTACTCAGCGAGCTAGATTTTTTTGGGAAACGGGTTGGATGTGGCGAATCTGTGGATTCGCCCCTGCTGAAGATAAAAAGGAGTACTAAACAAGTACGCAAAAGGACCAAGAAATAGAAAACGGCGGGAAATCCCGACAAAGTGCATCCAAACTATTTTCTAGACATGGACCGTTGTGACTGGCGTTTCGAGTTCATCGTGGATCCTGACAACGCAAACCAAATATATGGCTGTGGGTCCAAAATAGGGTAACCCCCCAAGTGGAAACCTGGACCAAAACCTGCGGTCCCCTGGTGGTTGAATTTTGACCCATACCCACATCACACCATGCCTGTTGGGCATGCTGTGCTGTTTTAACGGATACCATCCAAATCCCATGGCCACGCAGGCGCCGGCATGAACAAATCTATAGTCCGTGATAGGGTGCGTATATGCCATGTGCTTGCAGAACCTGATGCGACACGCATACCGTCAAAGGATCGCGCTTGGCAAGCCGACCTCCGAAGCTTCCAGCCGAAGAACTCAGCGGGTGTCCCAGCAAAACATAACTCAAGGTGCTTCCAGACTTTCCCTGTCCTGGTGCACGGGCTAGTTCCACTTTGTGGACTGAGTATATGATGGCCGCGAAATCCGTTTCGCATCACACACACAAGCCTGGAACGATTCGATGTCCCGAGAATACCAGGAAACGTTCTGGCTTCAACCACTTCCATTTGCTTGAGCCTCCTGGAAAAACATAAAACAGATTTCCAGTAGTGATAGATTGCCTTTCAAACCAGCCAAACATGTACATATGTGTGTATATATATATATATATGTACAACCTATTCTTCAGAACATGGATGATGTCCGCAGTATCTCCGAAACCGGCTGCGCGCGTCCTGCAGCTCCCGAGCGCACTCCCGCAAGGCCGCCGCGACGGCGCCCTGGCGCTTCTTCATCTTCCAGGTGGCGTCCGCCGGTGGCCTGGGGCGACTGGGGCGAGCAAAACTGCCGCGGGATGGCGTCAGCCTCTGTTTGAAGGGGGTTGGAGTTTTCTCAATTTAGGGGGCCGGGGGTGGGTGGGGGAAAGGGGGGGGGGTGGGGGGGAGGGAGGCAGGGGACTGTATGATTTTCTTGGGTGATGCTTTGTCAAAGACGCTCAAGCTGGCTGCGGCGGCTTCTACTTTGCAACACTCAAAACTTGTCATGCCATGTCATGCCTCACGGTTTCAGGGGCCCGGGAATCAATATCATCTCCAACCACTACAACTAAACCCCGCCAACAACAAGAAGAGAGCCCAAGCTGCATTTATAAACCGCTTTGGAGCTGTAGTACTAGCAGGGGAAGCCGGAGGAAGCAAACGGGACGTCACAACACGCGGCAAAGGTCCTCCTCACTTGGCCAGTGACCAGCCAAGAAATGTGTACACTTTTTGGGCCACCACTAGTAAAAAGGGAGAGCCGCCAAGGAAACAAGTGTAAAGTGTGTCCACTGGCTGGGTGAGCCTCCAACTTCAGCGCCCTGAAATCCGCTTGCCAAACCGGAGCCCATCCTCAATCCTCGCCTGTCCGGCTTCTCCCACCGCAAGGCTGTGCGCCACTTTGGGTACACGACATCTGCGCCTTGCACGCGACCAAATTGGATCATTGCACGCTGTGGCAGCAAGCCCAGCCCTAAAATAAAGCAGCATCCGGCGTAGGCAAGGGGCCGTCATGTCACATTTTATCACTTTAGACATTTCAGCTCTTACACTACGCCTGCTGCTGAATATTAGGGAGGACCGTGAGCTTGATCTCATCACCACATTCTCCCCACCTCTCAGCGCAAGCACACCTCAAGCAACCCGGTCGGTCTAACAAAGCGAGAAAAAAACCAACAGAACGGCACACGCCCCAGCCAAAATCGTCTCCAGCCTTGATCCGGAAAAAGCTTGAATGCTTCCTTGAGCCCAGCGCGTTCCACTGCTTCGGAGAGCTTCAGACCCAAACCGCTTGCGCGCCAGCTGTGCCAAAGATCATCGATGCGGCTGAAATCCGGCCACACCTGCAACGAGCCAACCTCACGGCCATCCGTCTTCCGAATCGCGGGTTACTTGCAGACATGACCCTTCAAGCAGCCACGCGCGTCAAGAATCGGCGGCCAAATGGAACCCTGGAAAATGGGAAAACAAAGGCCAAACACCTGCAGCCTCCTGGTATAAGTCTAACTCATACCCCATTGGTTTCTGAGGACACGGAACCCCTTGAAGGCATGGGGCATCTTTTGGGTCTGATCCAGTCCCGTTGCGCGCCTGGGATTCGACGGGGGCTTGCACCGCCGCTTCGCTGACCCGGGGCGCCCCAAAGGACTGGCGCCACTCCGCCAGAGCCTCCTGACTTCCGTGGGCCATCAAACTGAAGGGGGGGGGGGGGGGAAAACACCTCACTCATCCTCGTTCTATTTCCTTCGCATGGGGTGTGGGAACGCCGAAGTTGCATAAAACATAGGAGGAAGGTGTGTGACGGTTTGTGCGAAACATAAATCCAATATAAATCCGGTCCACATCCCGCCCCGCACCTGCCCACTCCTCCGCCTGCTGGGCCCTTTCCGCCCTCCCTCCCTCCCCCTTCCTTCCCCTCCCTTCCCTTCCCTTCTCTTCGCTCCCCTCCCCTCCCTACCCTGCCCTCCCTTACCCTCCCCTCCCCCCCTCCTCTCCCCTCCCCTCCTCCTCTCCCTCGAGTTCAGCTTCAAGACAGAAAAACACAGATTACAACTTGAACCTCAATTGTTCCAACGCGCTCCCGAGATGCACACCTACAAATAGAATCTTAGCAAAGCGTCACAGAGCAGGCCAAATAGCAACAACAAATGCATGTGTCCTTTTTAGCGACACCCTTTTGTTGGTGTTGACGGGAAACCACAGGAGCATCACATTTTTGGGCCGAAAAGCCCGCCCCCCCCCCCCCCTTGTGGATCGCCATGCCAGGACGGCCATAATTAACGGCCATGACTGCCCTGCCATGCTCCGATCCCGTCCTCCAGGGCCACTTCCCAGTCCTCCGCCTTGGAGCTTCCCCGGTGCCAGCGGCTCCGCCGCAGCGTCCCGAGCACCCGCAGCGCCCGCAGCGCCCCCAGCGATCCGCACCCGGCGAGGGCCAGGCGGAGCTTCGTGCCGGGCGCTGGGCGGCTGCCACAAAGGCCTCCAGGTTTGCAGCGGATGGAAGGGAGGAGTGCACTTGGTTGCTGTTGACTCCCCTACAAAAAGTTTAACTTGGGGGGGTTAGTAGAAAACTCCGTTATTCCCCAAAAAGTTAAAGTCTAGGGATCCAACTCAATAGCAGTCAAGTGCAAAGCCCAATGAAATGCGAGTGATGCGCCTGGCTAAAAAAAACAAACTTTTTGTTTTACCGAATCGGCAACCGCTGGCGCCAATTCGGCCGTAGCTTTCAACCCCCTCTTCATGGATTTGTGGTGGGTGGCGGGCCCGTGTTCTTGGAGAGCCTGCTGGGGCAGGGAGCATTGTCACCCATTCATTCCACCGAAAGCTTGGCAACGCAAGGTCATTGAACGTGCAATCTCAAAGGTTCAAAGGATGCCAAGATTGGGACTGGGCGCCGCAAACGAAGAAACGATACAACAACCAAACTGAAGTGGCCTCGCGCAGAGCTGAGATGCCCAGCGGGGCGAGATGGCCCAGGAACGATCATGCCCACGCCATGCTAGGAATCGACCCAACCGGAATCAACCGAGTTGATCAGAATGGCGTCCGCGCCATTACAACTTGTCCGCGCCCGAGGAGTTTGGTTTCCAGGCGACTCCTGCTGTGTGCTAAACCGCTGGCGCTGGCCACGCGGCCTCTTGAGATGAATGACGTGCCTTGAGCGGGCAGGCACCGGGAGCGCACCAACTTCCACGCACTTCTAGGTCCTCCAGTAGTTAGAATAAGGGTACCCTTCTTTCTTCTGCAGTCTATGTTAGCAGGGGAACCCTCCCCTAAAAAAGGGTAAAAGGGCACTACTGGGGGACCTAGACTTGGTATGCATACGTCAGGAAATGCCAACTGTGCGCAGGAGCCCTTTGCGACCCTCGGAAGGAACGTTTCTGCGAGAGCATGAACTCCGGAGAATGCAGCATCACACGCCCAACATGGGCCATGCTCAAAACTAACTGCCTGTGGGTCATGGACACCATTCCATGAGGAGCCCATGAGGGGCTGTTTAAGATCCCGGTAAGGGGTGCATACCCGCACCACTACCAGCCCCAAGCAAATGAGTCAAGTTGACATTGTTCTAGGGGGTGATTCCCCATTCTTTTCGGCCATCGTTCTTTTCAAAAACCGATCGCCATTTCCCCAGGGTTTTTGGTGGTTTTCTAGAAAGATCCAGATCCCTGGAAAGAATGGAAATGGAAGTTACCCCTAGAATTCTGCCTCGCTGCATCAATTTGCCGGCCCGGCGAAGATAGAGCTGCAGGATCTCTCTCCCAGGCTGCTCCCCAACCTTAGTCAACCGGCGCAGTCCCCGTATTTCCACGGGGTTAGCTCCAAATATCTTCTGGAACCCCTTACGCACCTGAAGGAAACAACACAAAGGAAAGCCAAAGCCAAAAGGACTTGCTTTTAGGCTTCTGCTTGAGCCGCAGCAAGCCCCCTGACCCTTAGGGCAAGCGTTTGGGGGCTGCTTTGTAGGGTCCCTGAAGTTCGAACACTCCCGAGTCAGTTCTTCGCTAGTAGTAACTCCGCAAAACCATGCTACCGGACAATGTCTGTACGCCATGCTGCGCTGAGAAACTGGCAAACAGCCCTCAAGATGCAAATAGCCCTGAGGATGTTAATCCCCCGTTGATGAAACTTAGATCTTCAAAAATAGTCATTCAGGTTAATCCTATGGCACCACCATAGGTTTTGGTAGTTTTGGTAGAGATGCAGGCCAACACCTCGAGACTTGGTGCCTTACATTCTTGACCGTGACGTGCAAACTCTTTGCCCCGCTCTCCTGCTCGTCAGACCTGAGACTGGCGGTGTCCAAAAAAGCGCCATGCAGGAAAACGCGCCCAGTCTTCACACGGTTGTCAAAAATAGGGTAACCCCAAAATGGAAGCTGGGTAAATGGAAAAACATGGACTAACACCTGCGCTCGTCTAGTTGTTTAACTTTGACCCACACCCATGTGTGGCTGTAAGTGATTCTCAACGAGCTGTGTTCTGAGATATCAAGGTGATGCTCTTGAAACACAAGGCTGTCATGACAGGCTTGCCCAACACGCGTGCAAGGCACATGCCACATGCAGCCTCGTGCGGGTCGTTGCGCAACCCATGGCTGATCCGCCGGGCAAAGAGCAAAGGCGCCCAAGGGGGGACAAGGGGTCCGGGCCGATTCAATTTCTCTTTCCCCATAAAAGGGAAAACGGAACCGTACCATGGAACTCCACGGGTCACTCCCTCCCCAATTTCAGTTTTAAGGGGAACTTGGGGAAACTCCGCCCTTGGCCAAAGACAGTCCCTTGATTGCTCCCGCAAACTCAGGCGTGCGCATCTCCCCAGGGAGGTACTCAAAGGACCTGGGCTGGACGCAGTTCCATGCATTGACTCCTTCGAGCGGGTCTGTGTGCCGGGCGTGTAGGTCAAGCCGAAGCCAAAGGGATAGGCCACATCCCGGCCTTCAGAACTTCAGCATGCACGCTCGATGTCTAGGCGTGCACACGGCAGCACAAATTTGTCTAAGCCAACATGCCACTGATTGCAGCAGAGCCTATACACTCCATGTCCGATGGTTTGTTATGAGCACTCGACGAACATGGGACGAACCAGCTGCGAGCCCCAAGCCGTCGTAGAGGTGCCAGCCCACAAAGAGCTTCTCCTGCGGAAGCGTTCCCTTGCCACAACACAACAAGGCCCAAGCACCAGACGCCTCCTCCGCATTGTGTGATTTCATGGGAGCTGTCAGCCGATCATTGCAATAAAACAGACCCATGCCATACTGTAGCCAAACAGGCCATGCTCCAAACATCACACACACACACACACACACACACACACACACACACACACACACGCTGCGCAACAGCCTGTGCATCCCAAGTTGTATCGACACAAAACCGACAACTTATCTGCAGGGAATCCTGTCTTGGAAACAAGCCAAGTTGGGCACGTCGAACCATCGTTGAATGGAACCTGCGTACCCCCACCTCATAGGGGCATGCGGACTCAATGCACGGCCGCCTCAGCAAAGCCGTAACTTGCCACCGGATGCCGACAGCTTGATGGGGGTCTTTGAAAAGCAAGAAATCCCCCACCCCGTTTGCCTTTGTAGCTAAGAAAGATGGGCATGCACAAGGCTTGCCCAGACCACGTTCTGCATTGCCAGCCGACTTTTGCTGATCAAATGCCAAGGACGGGGTTGCGTGAGAACATTGGAACACTTCACTGGGCATGTGCGCGAGCTACGGACAGAATTATCTGTTCTTTTCCTTTAGGCACTCCTGCAGTTCTGCTGTACACTGACAGTTCCGGCATGTACATGCATGTTCCAACCTTGAAAACCCAGCCTTAGCTGCAACCGCAGCCCCTTCTCCACTGCTTCCCAAATGCCATGAGGGCGTGTCTCTGAAGACCCCGTAAGCTGGCCGTGGGATATTGCAAGCTCTCACCGGGCAGCCAGCATGGCATCCTCCTGGCGCAGCAAGTGGGGACATGGGGTGTGGCACACCCCTCCCTTTGCTTCCGAAAGAAAAAACAACATGGCCATGGGTCAAAATCCAAATCTGAAATCCGCCGACAACAGGCGGCGTGTTGGACATAAGAAATGCTCCTTACCTCTTTACCTGTTACCCCTCCCCTAACCCCTCCCCAGGGGCAGCATTTCAGACTATTGCGGGGGGGGGGGGTCCACGTACCACGCGGTGATTCGAAGACGCTTCACTAAATCTGTTCATTGTGCGGGCTACATCGCCAGCATCACCTGCATCATCCGCATCAGCGCCTGCCAAGGATGCGGATGATGCAAGTGATGCTGGGGATGTTGCCTATGCTGGTGAACCCCCCCCAGTTCCTTGTTGAGATCAGTTATTTCCCCCCTTTCCCTTCTAAGGCCTTTTCCCAGCCTCAGTCCAAAGATCTTTCCCCCCCTTTCCTCCCTAAGAGTTCGTCTCCCTTTGCCTCCCTAAGATCTCTTCCCCCCTTTCCCGCTTAAGATCCTTGCCCCCGTTTCCCCCCTAAGGCCTTTTCCCCCCAAGATCTCCACCTTCTCTTCCCAAAGTTTTTTTCTCTCTTTCCCGATTGAGATCCTGTCCCCCGATTGCCCCTTAGGGCCTGTTCCCCCCGAGAAAGATTTCCCTTTTCCTCCCAAAGATCTTTTCCCCCCTTTCCCCCTTAAGGCATTTTTTCCCCAGATCTTCTCCCTTTCCTCCCTGAGATCTTTCCCCCCCTTTCGCTGTTGAGATCCTTTCCCCCTTTCCCCCCTTCATTTCCAGATCTTAGGGAGGAAAGGCAGAAGATCTGGGGCAAAAAGGCCTTAGGGGGGAAAGGGGAGAAATGATCTCAACAGGGCAAGGGGTGGAAAAGATCTTCGGGAGGAAAGGGAGAAGATCTGGGGAAAAAAGGCCAACAGGGAAAGGGGGGAAAAGATCTTAGGAAGGAAAAGCGAGAAGCTCTCAGGGGGGGAAAGGCCTTGGGAGGGAAAGGGGGGAAAGGATCTCAACAGGGAAAGGGTGGGAAAGATCTTAGGGAGGAAAGGGGGGGGGGAAGATCTTAGGGAGGAACTCCTAAGATCTTCCCCCCCCTTTCCTCCTTAAGATCTTTCCCACCCTTTCCCTTTCCCTGTTGAGATCCTTTCCCCCCTTTCCCTCCCAAGGCCTTTCCCCCCCCCCTCTTCTCCCTGTTCCTTCCCCCTAAGATCTTCCCCCCCCTTTCCTCCCTAAGATCTTTCCCACCCTTTCCCTGTTGAGATCCTTTCCCCCCTTTCCCTCCCAAGGCCTTTCCCCCCCCCCATGAGAGCTTCTCCCTGTTCCTTCCTAAGATCTTTTCCCCCCTTTCCCTGTTGGGCTTCCCCCCCTAAGTCCTTTTCTCCCAGATCTTCTCCCTTTCCTCCTAAGATCTTCCCCCCCCTTTCCTTCCTAAGATTGTTTCCCCCCTTTCCCTGTTGAGATCCTTCCCACCCTTTCCCCCTGAGGCCTTCCCCCCCCTGAGAGCTTCTCCTTCCTTAGATCTTTCCCCCCTGTCCCTGTTGGCCTTTTTTCCCCCAGATCTTCCCCCTTTCCTCCCTAAGATCTTTTCCACCCCTTTCCCTGTTGAGATCATTTCTCCCCTTTCCCCCCTAAGGCCTTTGCCCCCAGATCTTCTCCCTTTCCTCCCTAAGATCTTTCCCCCCCTTTCCGCTAGGCGAGCGCAGGCAGGCGCAGGAGGGGCAGCGGCACCTGGACGACGTGAGCCGGGTACCCCAGCTGCGCTACGCGCGGGCCGAGTGCCGGGGCGTGGAATGGACGGCGACGGAGTTGCACAACGGTAAAGAGATGAAGACACTTCGGGCCCACGGCTTCAACCAGCGCCCGCGCTTTGAGCAGGTGGTGGGCTACCTTGAGCGGAATGAGCCGCTGCCCCTGGATCAACCGGACCCTGCTCAGATCCTTTCCCCCCTTTCCCCCCTAAGGCCTTTCCCCCCCTGAGATCTTCTCCCTTTTCCTCCCTAAGATCTTTTGCCATTTTTCCCTGTTGAGATCCATCCCCCCTTTCCCCCCTAAGGCCCTTTCTCCCTCTGAGTTTTTCCCTTTTCCTCCCCACGATGTTTTCCCCCCTCTCCCTGTTGAGATCCTTTCCCTCCTTTCCCCCCTAAGGCCTTTTTTCCCCCTGCGATCTTCCCCCTTTTCCTTCCTAAGATCTTTTCCCCCCTTTCCTTGTTGAGATCCTTTCCCGCCCTTTCCCCCCTAAGGCGTTTTCCCCCCCAAGATCTTCTCCCTTTTCCTCCCTAAGATCCTTTGCCCCCTTTCCCTGTTGAGATCCTTTCCCCCCTTTCCCCCCTAAGGCCTTCCCCCCCCTGAGATCTTCTCCCTTGTCCTCCCCAAGATCTTTTCCCCCGAGATCTTCTCCCTTTTCCTCCCTAGGATCTTCTCCCACCTTTCCCTGTTGAGCTCCTTTCCCCCTTTTCCCCCTAAGGCCTTTTCAGATCTTCTCCCTTTTCCTCCCTAAGATCCTTTGCCCCCTGTCCCTGTTGAGATCCTTTCCCCCTTTCCCCCCTAAGGCCTTTTCCCTGCCTGGGACCTTCTCCCTTTTTCACTGAGATCTTTCCCCCCCTTTCCCTGTTGAGATCCTTTCCCCTCTTTCCCCCCTACGGCCTTTCCCCCCGCTGAGATCTTCTTCCTATTCCTCCTTAAGATCCTTTGCCCCCTTTCCCTGTTGAGATCCTTTCCCCCCTTCCCTTTAAGGCCTTTCCAGATCTTCTCCCTTTCCTTCCTAAGATTGTTTCCCCCCTTTCCCTGTTGAGATCCTTCCCACCCTTTCCCCCCTCAGGCCTTTCCCCCCCCTGAGAGCTTCTCCCTTTTCCTTCCTTAGGTCTTTCCCCCCTTTCCCTGTTGGCCTTTTTTCTCCCAGATCTTCTCCCTTTCCGCCCTAAGATCTTTTCCACCCCTTTCCCTGTTGAGATCATTTCTCCCCTTTCCCCCCTAAGGCCTTTGTCCCCAGATCTTCTCCCTTTCCTCCCTAAGATCTTCCCCCCCCCCGCTGAGATCCTTTTCCCCCTTTCCCCCCTAAGGCCTTTCCCCCCCCTGAGAGCTTCTCCCTTTTCCTTCCTAAATCTTTTCCCCCCTTTCCCTGTTGGGCTTTCCCCCCTAAGTCCTTTTCTCCCAGATCTTCTCCCTGAAAGGGAGACGATCTGGGAGATCTTAGGGAGGCAAAGGGAGAAGATCTCAGGGGGGAAAAGGCCTTAGGGGGGAAAGGGGGGAAAGGATCTCAACAGGGAGAGGGGTGAAAACATCTTAGGGAGGAAAAGGGGAAAAAACAGAGGGAGAAAAGGCCTTCGGGCGGAAAGGGGGAATGGATCTCAACAAAGAAAGGGGGGCAAAAATCTCAGAGGGGAAGGGGGCAAGGGGACAATTCCAAAGGGACGCAAATAAGAAAGCAGGCCTGTAATGTCGGCGGCCTGAGCCGGAGGCACTAAAATAGACTAAAATGGGTGTTGCACCTACCCCAAAATGGTACCATTGGTTTTGACCCACAGCCACCTGACACTATCCATTTCGGGCTTCCCTGGAATTTTCAGCAACCAAAAGCCGAATACTGGCGGTTACAGGTAACCAGGGGCTTGTCATCAGGCTCTTCCCCAACGCCTTGCCTCCTTGGCAGGGATTGTCACTGGCAGCTTCCCTGACGGGTGCACAGCGCCAAACCTGGGCCAGGCAACGCCGCAGCCACAACCCTTGGTACGGCAGCAAAAAACAATCTGTTCTACCAGCCCCCTGCCAAAAACGAACAGAACCAACAAACAAACAAAAACAACAACACTTGTCAAGAACAGTCAAGTTGAAAGTGGCACTAGGGACGGAGAGCATTGCTGTGGGCCCCAGATGCCTTAGGATTGCCCTCTTGGGACCCATCCCCAAGTGCTTGGCAAGAGATCCGCTGCCGCAAGGCCAGTCGCCTGACCTCGAGCGGAAGCTGGCACTGGTGCAACTTGCGATTCCTCTCACGCCTCGTTCTCTGTCTGGCGATGGTGGTGATACCCATGCAGAACTTATCAGCTTCCCTATGATTGGCGCACTTTGGGATGTAGGATAATCACAGCGGTCAAGCGTCAACCCTTGTTTCGGAAAGCAAACACGAACATAAACTACCGTTGAGTTAATGGTCTTGCAGAATCAAAACCGCAACACACAACACAAGCTGGCTCTCAAAGCAGGTACACAGCATGGCGTCCCATACCGCGCCACCACGGTCTGACAGCGTCTTCGTTGGGCAGCGACTGTCAGCCGTGCACTGCCCCCCCTGACTCATGAAATTCAGCGTTGGCGGTGAAGCCTTCCATCCGTGATCTATCATGATCCACACACACACACACCCAAACACACACACACAGACACACAGACACATCAGACACACAGACACACAGACACACAGACACACAGACACACAGACACACAGACACACAGACACACAGACACACACAGACACACACACACACACACACAAGCGGACACACAAACACACAAACACACAAACACACAAACACACAAACACACAAACAAACACATTGACATACACACAAACACATTGACATACACACACAAACAGTCGAAGAAACACATGCACAACACACAGAGACGCGCAGAAACAAACACAAGAACGTGACAGGGGCACGAACCAAAGTGACACGCACAAACACACCGACCCAAACGAACATACAAATACAAATGCATACACATATACATGCTTGTTTGTGTACTTGCGCATGCTTGCAGACAACAGAGCCCATATGTTCTATGCAAGGCGCATAGCCACGGGCATGGCTAAACGCTTCCAAGTCTGGTCATGTCTGGCAGTGGGCAATGGCTTCACCCAAAATTTGTTCTTTCAATTCCTGAGTCTCCGCGCCCGAGGGAAACATCAGCAAGATGCCCGTGGCAGCTTGGCCTCAGATTCTTGCGCGCTTTGCAACCACCTAGGGAGGAAACCAAAAAGTATCCAAAAGCCCTATCTCCCCCTCTCTGTCTGAGAACCTTCTAGGGGATCACATTGTTTTGGACAGCTGGTTGTGTGTGAATCTGTGTGTCTCTGTGCCTCTCTGTATCTACGTGTGAGTCTCTGCGTCTGTGTCTCTGTGCGTGTGTCTCTGTGTCTGCCTGTCGTCTGTTTGTCTGTCTGTCTGTCTGTCTGTCTGACTGTCTGTCTGTCTGTCTGTCTGTCTCTCTCTCTGTCTGTCTGTCTGTCTCTGTCTGTCTCTGTCTGTCTCTGTCTGTCTCTGTCTCTGTGTGTCTGTGTGCGTGTCTCTGTCTGTATCTGTCTGTCTGTCTCTGTCTGTCTGCCTGCCTGCCTGCCTGCTGGCCTGCCTGCCTGCCTGCCTGCCCGCCGTGTGTCTCTGTCTGTTTGTGTGTCTGTGTGCCGTGTGTCTCTCTCTGTTTGTGTGTCTGTGTGTCTGTGTGTCTGTGTGTCTGTGTGTCTGTGTGTCTGTGTGTCTGTGTGTCTGCGTGTCTGTGCGCCGGTGAGCCTATGTGCCTGTGTGTGTGTGTGTCTGTCTGTCTGCCTGCCTGCCTGCCTGCCTGTCTATCTGTCTGTATGTGTCTGTCTCTCTGTTTCTGTCTGTCCTTGGAAAGGTGTTCTCCAGCAGTGATCTGCAAAAATGGTGGCCTGCCATCCTTCGTAACCCTATAGTAAACCCGCTCACTTCCTTGATCATGTGTTGACAGGCCTCAGGTCACCCCTTCCACGTTGCTGGACTACAACGGATCATATGATCAAAAATGGCCCCGCTTATCAACCAAACTTGTTTGCTCCCTGCTTCATATCCAGCTTATGTTGGTATGTCTTCTCTTGGTACACACCCTTTGGTTGCTTCTTTTGTCAAAAGAGTGAAACAAAAACAAAAACGGAACAATGGGTAAGCCACAGGGTACACACCACTTTGGAGCTTTTTCTTTGACCTGACCAGACAACCCCTTTTTTTTGTTCCTTTCCGAGGAGCTCCAGGGCATCACCACGACGCCGGCCGTGAGCAGCAGCACCACCACCGGAACCTCGAGGTTCTGGGTGAGAAGCTGCCCCCGGTTTATGGGGGGCGTTTGTCTTTGGGCTTGGGCCCTTGCCCACTCGGATTCGGAGTGGGCTCCATTGGTTCCATTGGAAGACCTTTCCCACCAGTTTCTGTATCACAGCAGATTCCATTTCCCACCATTCGGAGCGCTCTCCCTTAGCACAGGTGGGAAAGGCCGGGTGTTGCTTTCGGTGAAGCTGCTTTACCATAGGCCCCAGGGTTGTGGGATCGCTCGGGGTTTATCCCCACTTGTACAAGGGAATCTCCCCCCTGGGGAAGTCCCTTGTTGTATCACAGAAGTGGATTCCATTTCCCACAACGATTCGGAGCAGGTGGCTTGTTGATTTGGGTTTCGGCATGCTCGATATAGCTCAGTGTACAGTATGAGCTTGTGAGGTACATGCGCGCGCCTTAGGCACAGTATAGAAGTGGCTTTCGATAACCCCCAGCCCACACCTGCAGATCTCATTCCTGAGAGCTTTGCTGGGAGCGTGGGGGGCATGGGCAGGCATAAGTACAACTCCCAAATGATGAAGATACCCACCTCCCGCCCTGAAATTAGTCTTTGGTCTGGAGAAAGGCATGGGAGGACCCACGAACTGTCCGCAAAAAAACACCAAGGTTTGTAACTTTGCCATGGCAAAGGCTGTTCCCATAGGGCAGACATGTGGATGCAGGCGCTGGGCAGCCAGCAAAAGGCAAGATTCAAGTGCCCATCGCATTTGTTCAGCCTCAGACCACCTTAGTGTATACAACTCCAACATACCGGTGAATCACTGCAGGTCCTGTGACGCAATTTGCGTTGGAAGGCGTCACCTCACAATAAAATACCACAACCAAAGCGCCTCACCAGGTGAGGCATTCTACCCCTCTTTGCAACAGATCCAGCGCCAAATCTCGGGAAGCTCGGGGAGGCAGGGACAAAAATCAAGGTTTCATTTCACCACACTCCGTCCCTGCTCCTTGGTCACTGATTTGCACAGGGCTCCACACCTTCATTTCGTTCCCCTGGCGCAGAACCTGGCGCGAGGAGCGCGAAGGCGATGCGGACACGGCTGGGTCCAGGATAGCCCCCACCCAACAGAAACCAAGTAACATGGCCATGGGTCAACACCCCGTACCCCCAGTGAACATCCCAATCCCCACTAAAATAGACTTGAAGTGGGTGGTGCACCTGTCCCGAAATGGTTACCATGGGTTGTGCACTACGGCCACATGGACAGTGCGCAGGGACTTTGCCACATGCGCAAAAGACTATCCGTGCTTGGATGCTGGTGGGTGTGACCCTGCTGCAGGTACTCACTGTGCAAACGCTCCAATGCATTCCTTCATCACCCACAGGTCAGCGAAGAAAGGCAGAGCTGTTCCGTTGAAGACCAGCACTGCGGCTGGCTTCTGAACTGTTTCTCAGAAGCTTGGTTGAAAACTTCTCGTGGTGCGGTGCTTTGTGTGTGTGTGCGTGGTGTGTGGGACTGTGGGTCTGCCTTGTACTGGTTGCAAAGCTCTGTTTGTCTTGCCTGAGAAACAACGTGCTGCAGAAAAGCCTCAGACAATTAGTGCCAACACAGCTGCCTGCAAAGAATCAAGCACGGGCAAATTGCCTCGGCTAAGCCGGCTACTTTGGGACTGTTTCTTCGGGTGCACTTGTCGGACCCTTTGCGGGACTCGAAGGGTAAAGGCCGCAGGATGCCGCAGGCAAAGCCTCATCCACGAGGGCGTCCTGATCCAATCCTGAGCCACACACATCGCTGGGGCGATGTGGCTGTCGGGCATCACGTCCAGGCGGTAAGTGGGCATCCAATTTCTGGAACTGAGTTCTGCGCGCAAGGTCGTTCTGTCTGCAGACTCGGTCGAGGTAGAACCTGCACATGGCAACACAGCACCTAATGTTGCTTGTACTCTAGCCCTGCGCCCACCACCAGCCACAGTCACGACTAAATACACAATTTTGCTTGTACCTGCCCCACGCCCAATGCTGGCAACGGTGAGCATGTGAATTTGGATTGCTGTAAGACTACGCACCCAAAAAAACTCGATCGATATTGACGTCATCCACTAGTGATTGGGGGCTGAGCACAGCACTTAACACCCATTTGGCTCAAGCCAGCTGATGCAGAGCTAACGCCTGCACAAACGATGGCCACGTCTGCACCTGGCTTGGAGTCTTGGAGTTGAGGGATCAGCATGGTGAGATGCATCAACAGAGCCGTATCCGAAAAGTATGCGAATTGCAACGCCATGATTCGTGAACATGATTCAAGACTTCAAGGTGACTTTCAATCATCAAGGAATGCATTTTGCAAGGCAATCAGGAAATGGGCTTTCAGCGCCACTGTTCCGGAAGGGACAGCCGCCGTTCACTCGACTGCTGGGATGGATCAATCCCCTGCGTGGATCTCCGCTTGCGGCTGATATGGACCAGTCTTGCCTGATAGGGCCTTGTTGACGCCAGCAAAGTCATCTTCTAAGCCTGCAGCGTGACCCGGTGGAACACCCCACTGACATAAGGAGAAGCGGCATGGCTCCAACGCTTGAATACCATTCACGAGATGTGCCAAGAGTTCCATGGCTGCCTGCAAAAGTATCTTGCAAATAGCTTTTCATACCGGGCATTAGCCAATGGGTGCGTGAGATTGCGACATGTTGTCGGGAACAAGATATGAAGCGTTCAGCCCTCAAACTCCCTGAAGCTCATCACTCCTCGCCGGGCTCTGGGCAAATTTGTGTGGTGGCGCCGTACCGAGACCTGAGTCAAGTGGCGCAAGCGTCACCTCGAAAAGATGCAAGAACCGAACAGATAAGCTGAAGCCTAACAATGGCTTCCAATGGGTCAAAAGGCCGTGAGTCGTGGCAGAGAAACAACCCCCACATCGAATGATCTATGCATGCATGTTGCTTTATGACATTGAGATATTGTACTCAACAGCAAGAAAAGCAACGCACGCAGGCGGCAAGTGAGCAAAAATAGCACTCGCTGTTGTAAACTCCCGGTGTCTACATGTCATTGGCTTTTGCATGATGGGTTCGAGTTAGCAATTGCCTGCTCATGTGCATGGGCAGCACAAAAGCCCGCGCGGAGCCATGCAGCTTGATTCTCGGGCGCTGGCATGCCATCCATCAGAGTAAGATCGTCCTTCGACAGCACCTAAGGTTCGAGGGGGGCCCAAACTGCAATCAAACAAATCCACATAAATCTTGACGAGTTCGCACCTTGCAAACCTTCATCTTGCAAACTGCCTTCTGCCCTCCTGTCCAGCTGGCCCCTTCACCCGGATCGCAGCTTGGGAGGCCTTTGGTTAGCCGAAACAAAGGCCGCTTGCTTGCCCCACGGAATTTGCAGCCACTGGACATGTTGTCGCCAATGGACATGTCAAATGTCAAATGGCTCACCAACGATGAGCCACACGCCACCTTTGCATACCATGCTTGGCAAATTCGCCTCGGCCCCCAGGGCCGGGAAGCGGTCAGACCCTTCAGAACCTTTTTGGGATCTTCGAAATTGCCAGACCGCACAAAAGGCTCCAGACTCCAGACTGAAGACTCCACTGAGGCTCCAGACTTTAGACTGCACACTTCAGACTCCTCCAGACTGCAGACTGCAGACTCCAGGCTTTCCCATCTAGCTCCACTCAAATCCTGCTAGAAACCGCTCAACTTCCTCCTCTCAAAGCTGGTCCAACTCGGTCGAATCCCCCTTCAAATCCCCCTTCAGAAGCCACTCAAATCCCGCCTAAAACTCTTCTACAAACCTGTCACATCCCCTCTGAAAACTCCCATCAAATCCCCCTAGAAACTGGCAAAATCCCCCCAAAACAACAATCAACTTCCCTAGAAATTTGGATGCGCTTGGCCCTCCATTCTGTAGCTCTCCGCGGCTCTTGTCCTGGCCCTCGAAGCCAGGTCAAATCGCGCTGACATGCACCCACCCTCTAGCTTGGAAACCAGCTCGCGCATTTCAGCGCCAACTCACTCACTTCAACAACAGCACTTCAAGGCAAACCAAAGCACAGTACATACCTCAAAGCCAGCCAAAAGCGGACTGGCCGAGGCGGGCAACGCCAAGCGTTTACCATTTTTCGTAAGTGCACAAAGCGGAAATAAGGAAGTCCAAAAGTAGGGCACATGTCGGGATGGCCAAGCCTTACCAACGCTGTTGATTGACTCCTTTCCAATTACCTTGCAATCTCTGAAGCTCTGTGTGGCTGCTCTGCAAAGGAGCAACATTGGGAAACAAATTTAAAGGGGATACCGGGAAAGCGGGGATGTCCGAGGACTTTGTGTAAAGGAAACCATGTCTAACAATTACCCGAACAATATGCCCACATCCCTGCTTCCCCCACATCCCTGCTTCTTTGCTTGTCTGAAACATGAGCCAGAGAGCAGCACACAAACTGGTTGATGACCTTTGGGCGTTGGGGGCGCCCCAATCCCAGCAGGACTTCCGCATAGGGAGCAGCCGTCCAAACAAAGCGAGCGCCGCCTAAGAGCGAAACCCGACTGGAGCCGCCGATGGAGAAATAGGACGCATCCGTCCAGGTCTCAGCACGCAGGAATTCGTAGGGCTTACATGTTTTTCTACCACCAAAATATCTGAGCTGGCAGCCTGACAACCTTTCTCACTGACTGACTGGCTGGCTGGGTGGCTGGGTGGCTGTGTGACGGACTAATCGCCTGCCCACCTTCCCGACCAACAACGACAGCCCAAAAACAAGATTGACATTCCAGGCATCCGCTCCTTAGATTCGTGGTCAATGTCCGGCGCAACGCCGCAGGCCTCCCCGCACATGAGCAGCAAGGGTTGAGGGGAGGTTCTAATTGACGCTTTCCGCTTAGGCTTAAAAAGTTTTGACGCTGAATATCCCGCAGCCCCAATCAAGAGAATTGTGCTTGAACATACATGCAAGGCCTGGGGCTCACGCGTGATACCCTCGTTTGCATGCGCGGCAGTAATTCCAAGAAGTTGAGGAGAGTTAAACTTCAGCCTGCCTTGGCTGGGGGCCAAGACTGGATCAAGCGGAAAGAGACATGCAACAGACTGCAGGCAGGCAGGCAGGCAGGCAGGCAGGCAGGCAGGCAGGCAGGCAGGCAGGCAGGCAGGCAGGCAGGCAGGCAGGCAGGCAGGCAGGCAGGCAGGCAACAGGCAGGCAGGCAGGCAGGCAGGCAGGCAGGCAGGCAGGCAGGCAGGCAGGCAGGCAGGCAGGCAGCCCAGTTGGCAAACCATCACCTTGCTTGGGTGGAACTCGCTTGCTGGTGGGACACGGCGCCTCACCAATGATCGCGATTTTCTGGCTCCTCAACAAGGGCAGAACAGGTGCACCTGGGCCGCCCGCGCTCAAAAACAGGCTGCCACTCCATTCCATATTCGACGACAAACAGCGCATTAATTTCGCCAAAAGCTGGTTCCAATGTTTCCAAGACATGGGTCAGGCATGTCCACAAGTGCTGCCAACATGCTTATTTCGAGCATGTCGGCTTGCAACGCGTTGGTCCAACTAAACTGGCCCAAAGTTGTTCGAAATCGTTTGCGTGCCATCAGCACGGACGAATCCTAGCTTTGCTTGCGTGACACCGAGGCCAATGTTTGAAGCAAACTCCCCAAGTTCGAATCAACGTGTGCAAAAGCTGTCCAAGCTGGAGACCATCTTGGGACACTTTGTCGTTCTTCAGCAAGACCTCTGCAGGACATCCGGGCAGGTCAAGATTCATGTGTAAAGCAGATATATTCAGCATCATTGGCCATGCTCGTGTGCAATAAGGTAGGTTGTTAGCACCGAAACAGATTATTCATGACCAATGTACCACTCAGTTGGCACAATTCCTCGGTCATTGTTCGACCCTAAACCTAAGATTTAAGTCTTTTCTGCCATCATCATTTGCACCAAGGGCAAACATGTATAATGGTACCAAATGTTGACCCCGATTCCCGCAGCTGGATGAGCAACGATGAGCAGTGATGTCCTGCTGATATCTAACGCTTGCTTGTTGGAGTCTATGAGTCTATGCATGCCCGAGTGTGGCGCACCACAGCGGATTGAGCAGGCTTAGCAACATAAAGTGGCTAACACAAAGACAAACGGGAACTTGTCTCAGCCAATCTGCAGCGGCGGCTTTTAAAACAAGTGCAAACACTACTGATCGCTTATTTCTTGAACATCTACCAAGCGACCAGCACCATTTGCAAACAGACCCTTCCCACCCACAAGCCTGGAAGCAAACAAGCGCATCCCCTTCAAAAGCATTGTTCCTGCATGCGCGTTCATGTGTGTCTCTGTGTCTCTGTGTCTCTGTGTGTGGCGTGCACGTGCGTGTAAATGAGGATGTCCGCGTGTGGGTATGCATGGCGCTTTCTCGAAATTGCCGGCGGCCAGCGGAAGCCTTTTCCAGGCGATTCCATGGAAGCTCCCCGAACCCCTTCGGGAAGACGTGGTTCCATTTGCAGTGGGTTTCTGGGAGCTTCCATGCTGCAAATGGAACCACGTCTTCCAAAAAAGGTTTTGGGGAGCTTTCATGTTAATCTGAGGGAGGGTAATTTTGTTCCATACCGAGCTTTGTGCGGCTTGCGCAAGCCCGAAGCCTGGTGGCGCGCACAGAAAAGGCACCGGCTTCGAGACAAAGCTCGCTGAGGCTGCGGCCGCCCCTTGACTCGCAATGCTCCTGGCCTAGGCTCCAAGAGACATGTGTTGGGCTTGTCGCCAAATGGGGGACTGCAAAGGGCGTGCCTTCGAAAAGGGTATTGGAAGAAGCAATGCTATTGGCATAGGCAACCCGCGCTGAAGCACGGCTGCTAATCTCTAGCGATGCCTTGAACCCAAACAGCCTTCTAAGCCTCAGCCACTGCAGCAAGGCCATTAGCAATTACTAGCCCATGATGCTCCGCCAACTTGCAAAACATGTGGCGGAAAGCAACACACAAAATATAGACACAAACAAAATACTTGGAAGTGGCAGAATTCTGAAGAAACTAGCCACAAATCCAAACCGCCTGAGGATTCACTGGATAGGAGCCTGCTGGTGGGCGTCAACTACTTTGGCTCCCAGCTGTTTTTGAGGGCCAGTTCGGACATGAGAGAACGGATACTTGCTTCGCAGTGGGAAAGCTGCTTGCATAAGAGATGCCCGTCTAAGAGGGAAGCAGGACATTTGCCCCTTTGAACGCAAGCTATGTATGGCACGCTGCCATCAAGCCGCACCAAAGCGACTTTCCTACCAGAACTGCTTCAGCAGTTAATCATTACACATGTATATGTACAACATTTGAATGCGTGCGCGTGTGTATATATATATATGCATAAATATGTCCGTACATACATGTATTGCTGATATGTGTACGTTGTCTATGTATGGATTCTCACAGTTCTATCAACCAGCTAGTGTAGAAATGTTGTGTTTTCAGGGCTGGGTGTCTTTCTAGGAAGCTAGGATCTGTATGTCTCCCTCTTGAACACGCTCTCTGCCAAAGACAACTTTGTTCTCGAGTTGGTCCCAAAGCTGATGTCGTACTGCGACTATTCCCAGCTCAGAAACTGCCAAGGCCACTGCCAACTCCACGTGCTCCTGAGATGTTGCCATTTTGCCTTGGGCACTCGAGACGCCCTCCTAACCACCTGACTGAAACACCATGTTCAACTCTTCGAAATTTCAGTAAAATAACAAAAAAGAACAGGCCATTCAGCATTGACTTGGCCTGCCCATGTTCATCAATACGCTCGTCCTTTAATATGTCCCCCACAACCTTGCAACCAGTCTCGATCCCCGTGGCTCACAAGTCCGACTGCAGCTGGTGGCCGCTACACTTGCCACCGCACACACACGCACACAAACACACAGACACACAGACACACAGACACACAGACACACAGACACACAGAGACACACACACACACGTCACACAAAACACACACACACACACACACACGCAAGGAACGCACAACACACAACACATAATTAACCACACACTTTGTGGGGAAGTGTGGCAGGTTTCGCGAGCAGAAACTGAGGTGCAAAGGTGCCTCGCCGCCCCTCCACGCTTCGCGCCAGGGCCCCAAGCTGTACAAGGGGCCATCGCAGTTGCACCCTACCTAGGCCATCGCAGTTGCGCCGGCTTTCAGTGAGTCAAATGAGTCACCAACCGGATATTTATTCATGTGGGCGGGGGACGGAGGGGAGGGGGAGCCCCAAAAGCCCTTATTAAGCCCTTAATAAGGCCTTGTTTAGGGCGAATTTGGGCTCCCTCCCCCTGAGTCGACCCAAAACCATGGAAATCCCAAGGGCAGAAATGCATTTTTATGGAAAGCCCAAGGTTTGAGCGCGGGTCAAATCGGGTCAAATTTAGACGAGACGGGTTTCCATGGTTTTCCGCTGGGCCGAATTCTTCAAAGCTAATGAGACGTGAGCACCAAATCAAGCACAAACAAAGGTCAGATTCAACTGGAAAGCCACAAACCAAACCAACCAACCAACCAAGCAAACATGGACAGAAGACGAATAGAATCCACGGGAACGTGAATAACTATAAATAATAAGTCATGACGCTCAACCTCCTGGTGAGGTCGATTTCTATTCGCTTGCCAAAGGGAAGACAGCAAACAACAACTGCAGGAGGGTATTTTTGAAATGCCATCCTTGCGACTTGCGACGGTTCCCTCTGGGCACTGCACGCGGCAATCCTGGGCGCAGTGCTTGGCAACATGTCTGTCCCTCCTGTTGGGACCACGGTGCTCTAGGTGTAGCACTGAGAAAACTATGGGCCTATGGGCACTTGGGATGCTGCATTCCGGCTGGTTTGCAAAATGAATCAAAATGGATCCGCTGCGGAGAACTGTGTGATCTGGGAAATGCCGTCCGTATACATGCTACATATACGCACCCAAAGCGGTACTAAATGGGCACTGCTCGAGAAGCCAAGCTCGCAAACCTGCTAGTGAAACGGAGTCGATAATTCCACCCTTTCAGTGACGGAGGAAGCATCCCTGTAGCATTATCCACCCAAAAATGATTAGTTCCCCTTTAGTTTGGCTTCCCTTTCAGCCAAACCCAAAACGGGTTCCCCCCAAAACAAAACTCTGAGCACCCGAAACCGACTGGGCCCACGGTCACGGGGTCACACTGGGCCACCGGGCGTCCCCTGGAAGGTCAGACCAGGCACCGGAACCTTGGAGGGGCGCAACTCCCTTTTTGACAACTCCATAAGGCCTTAAGGGCTCATCCTTGGCTTATCAAAGTAAAAAAACCTCCTAGGGGCCCATGACTTGGAGAACCAGCCTTTTTCCTTTTACATTCTAAAGGCTGGTTCCCTGTCACCCAAAAAATGCACATGAAAACGATGTTTCGCCCATCTCATTGTGCCAAGTTTGCTTGAGGGGCATAGGACCCCTGGTCTGTCTTTGGCTGGCGGATTTTGAAGGGAAAACCACCAAAGCGAGCTTCAGGGCTACCTCTAGAACCGGGTCATCGTGGACAACCCGGCCCAACTCGAAGCTGACAACGTGTTTGGCACCTCCTTAGGTAGGCAATAGGTAGGTTGGCACACACAGCACATTTGGTGCAATGTTGGACCTGCTTCCGAACATGGGACGTCTATTGCAGAAAGCTCAACACCCCGAAGCTGTTTTGGGGAGTCTTCAATGATAGACATATTTGTCGCGAGCAAAAAACGATGCCTTTTCTTGTTCAAGGATGGTGTATCTAAGTCTTTCTCAACTCAGAGGTTCTTAGATCAACGAAACTCAACTTTGCAAGTGGTTCCCAAACCATATTTTTTAGGCAAGCTCTATTCACAAAAAGGGCAAGCCCAATGAGTCGCACAAAGGTGGGGGTGCCGGGAGCTCCTGATCTGGTTTGATATGACTATTTCGAGGTCTGCTTTGTCAAGTTTGGACTCCGGGGTCTCGAAGTCAAAGCCTCAGCCTTTTACTTTTAAAGGCTGGTTCACCCCGAGCTCTGAGAACTCTGAGATCAAGCCTTGGCAATATTAAATTTCGAGTCGGCAAGACACAATTAAGTTTTGGGGCTCCGCGCGGCGGGGGGGATCAAGGTCCAGCAATAAGAAATCCCTTGAACTATCTTGCACTGGCATCCGACATGCTGAACAAATGATCCGTGTGGGCTGTTTCTGCTAAGGAAGTGACATCCTGGTGGGCAGGTGCTGCTGCAACTGTTCATGCCAGCTGGTTTGATCAAGCCTTGAAAAACGTACCAATTTTGCAGGGAGAGATGACCCTACAAAGCTGCATCAACAACGACAGCGGCATATCTGCTAGCATGCTCCGACCTGTCCCAGGATCCGGGCTGCGCATGCCAACAAGGACCCGCTCCACCATGTCATCAAGGCCTGAGTCGGAATTGGACTTGGGTGCTGTAGATCCCCCAGCAAAAAGTTTAGGTTGAAAGGAAACATGAGGGGAATCCAACAAGTTGAAGCCTAATGATCCAACCCAATAGCAGTAGAGTGGACTGCCAACTCTCCCCCCCCCCCACGGTTTGGCACACCCAGTCAGAAAACTTAGGCGCCGCGCGGTGATCTGGTAGGGCAGATCCCAGCTTTGGCCTCATGGGAACACGAAAAATGCGACATGCAATGGAGCGGAGAAAACAACCGGCCCCAATCGCCAGCACGAAGAATGGGAAGCCAAGCTGAAGCAATATAAACGCATGCTTCTTTCGGTGAAAACTGCAAGCTAGCCAGCAGGCACATGCCCAGCGACCTTTTACTGCGCTTGCAAGCGCGTAAAGCGTCGGTCGGTACTCCTCTCATCCAAGCGTGGTGAATCATTTTACCTACTTTGCCTTGGTCAGGTCAGTAGAACATCGTCTCACACAGCGCGTCATGCCGCACATCTGGTCCTTGGAGTCGGCTTCGACACATCGTTCCCACATGCCAAACTCACAGTGCAACCAGGCCAACGCAGGCAACAAATGCATTCATCAACCATCCGAGTACCGTCCGCTTCAAGCGCCTGGGCCCTCTTCCATTGCACGGACAACACATGCCATTGAACAACATCGGTGGCGCAAAACTTGTGCGGCTGGAGGGTCGGTGATCGCAATTGATCAACTTGCCATTCTCCTTGTCCAAGCACAGGTAGTCACCTCAGGTAGAAACTCTGGGAAGCAAAGTCCATCCTGCTTAATTGAGGAATCCTAGTTGAACAGGCTCCCTGCTGTTGGAACCTTACCGATTCAAAGTCTGTGTTGGCTGGCCCCTTCAAATCAGCAACCACAGGGCATAGTTCATGTTGGCAAGGGTAGCACAAGTGCTCAAACAAACATTGAGGAACCCGACACAGAGGTCCTGGTGTGGACCATGTTCCTTTTAAAGGGACCCCAAACGTCAGGTTCCATGCTCATTGGTTGGAGGGTGCCTGAAACAGCAAGGGCGACTATGCCAGACCCCAAGGCCTGGCAAGGAATGATTCCTTTGACCCGGAGGCCTGGCAATTCTCAAACTCGACTAAACCAATAACATCTAAACCGATACATGGGTGTGGGTCAAAAACAAGTATACAAAATGGGTTGCCCTGGTATATGGCAAAAAGGGACGAAAATATGTGGTCTGGATTAATGTTGACCCATACCAATACATGTTAAATATGTTAAGTTACTAAAGAGCAACTTCTGAGCTCGACCGAGGCCGCAAACCGATGAACTCTAAACAGCATCGATCACTCAAACACGAACATTGCCAAACTCAACACAATGTCAGGGGAGTGGTTGAGGGAAACCCCTAATAGAGAGAATTAAAACATGCTGCAACAATTGAATCAACACTGAGCCAATACTATTCAAAGAATAGTTGAAGCAGTGCAAAGCCAATACTCCCTAAGCCAGACAAACTAGATGCGATTGGCTCAGGCCCGAAACAGCCGAATTCTACATGACATCCTTTACCAAAAAAAGCCACCCAAACAAAGTGTGGTAAAAGGAAGCCCCTAACGGGGAAATATGATGAGATGTTTAGGGTAAGGAGAGAGCGACATGGCACCAAATGCACCAAATACTAAACCAATACAAAAACAATGCAGCAAAGGATTCTAAACTGGGACTGGCCAGCACTGACCTGAGCGATGTTACACCAGTACTAAACCAAGTTAAAACAGAGAGGACCCAAGTCGATTCCGAATGTGTCGCAGGTCCAACATATTGTCATTGTTGTTTGCTTTCTTTTTAATACCACAAGGTGGTCACCACTTACAACCAATTGCTTCTATGTGCGGCTCAAGTTTTCCAAAGCCGTATGGGTTTCTCAAAACTAGGGACCTTTCTTGCAGGTGATTGGCTTCCTTTTGGTTCCCCCTTTAAACCCATCGGAAAAAAGAAGAAGTTGTTCTTATTTTGGAGCCACGCCCACCTCCAAGTCCTAGCTGCTCCTGGGGGCTTCAAAACGGCGGAACTGAGGCAAGCGCCAACTTTGCCTTCGATGGTGCCACCACCCTCCACGTCGGTGTCGTCGCCCCACTTCCAACCGCCCTCACATGCTGACCATTGCGGGGGATCGATAGGCCGTTTGACCTATACAGCCGACCTCTCATGGAAACAACATACGTCCCTGACGATGGCGTGCTACTGAATTGCCAAGGTGCTGAGCAAACAAGTCCTAGGTCCTCCAGCAGAGAGGTTAGAATAAGGGTACCCTGTTTTCTGCAGTTTATTTTAGTAGGGGAATCCTCCCCAACAAAAAAGTAAAAGGGCACTACTAGGAGACCTAGAAGTCAGTTGAATTGGCTTGACGAAGCAAACACCGGGAGGCAGGATGCAGCCATGCCGCTTCCTTGAAGTTCCCACCTTGGCAAACGCTACGGCAGCGGTCTCGGATTGGGAACTGAACACATCCACTTGGGCTTGAGGTTGTTCCCTTATGCGACCGTGTTGCTCCTCAAACATTTACAAGTTGTCTACCAATACCGCGAGAATAGAATGTGAACCTCACCGACACCAAAGTGATGGATCCCCAAATTTGCGGAACCTTCATCATTGGTTGCCCAGATCACTTCAGCAGGTTGTCCAAGGTCCGAAAGGGTCAGGTAGTTTAACATCACCTGTAAAATCTCTCCGAAGATGGCATCTGCAGTGCTGCGTCTCTCAAGGCTTCTAAAGCCAAGCAGCCGATCCATCCCTTCTCCGCTGTGGTGAATTTCTTCTGCAGGATCCAAAGTCTTGCCTTGTCAGCCTCGAGTTTGCTGAGACCCGGAGGATTTTTTTTCTTCTTATCAACACTGCATCAAACCGGTCCTTTTCGAGGAATGTAAGGAATTCGCAATGGGAACCCTGGATATGTGCTGTTCGCCCCTTTTGGGAGTGCGGGGGTGGTCGAGGCGGGGGGGTGGCGGTTCTTCTTGGGGCCCTTTGGCAAAGGCAGGATTGATGCCAAGCAAGGCCAGCCGTGGCTGCACATCAAGCCATTGCGCTTGAAACAGGAGCACAGGCCCGCAGGATCCCGCAGGAATGGCCTCTAAGTGGGAGGCGAGAGGGCTGATCAGTGAACACCACTAAACCGACAAAGAGGGTACTGTCGAGCTTGGACCAACCAACCTGATTTGAAAGGTTTCCAAATTATAAAGGAATCCCTGTCAAAAGGGAATAACCTATGAATCAACTGAAGGGTTCCCATTCAAGAACAAGGATTCGTTGATAAATCGGCCACCTATGAATCGACTGCGTAGCATCGGTTCCCATAGAAATCGAAGCCAGCCTCTGCCTTGGGCATCGCCAGCTCCTGAGCGATGCAGGCGTCCTGGCAATGCGGAGGCGGGGGGTGTGGGGCGAAAATGCGTATGCAGAACTGCCAGCCAACCCCCACATCTTGGTCCAAGAATGAGCCTTGTACAAAAGAAATGGATGGCATGTCGAAAAAGGGAAGGCAAGTGGGTGAAGTGTTCCGCAAGTACCATATACACCAACAGCATCTCCTGGCATAGGGGGGGTAGGGGGCGAGTGTAGGGTGAGTTTAAGGGCAGGTTGGGGAATGGTTTCGGGTGGGGTTAGGGTTGATGTTCTTCTCCGTGCGGGCTCACTAAGGTTGGCTTGGGATGCTTTAGGGTGCATTTCTGGGGTGGGTGCTGCGTAAGTTCGGTCTGTAGCACAAAGCGCGGGCTGTTGGCTTGGGCTTGGTTTTCAGGTGGGTTTCCAGCTGGTGGATTAGGCTGGGTGCCGGACGCAGTCAATGCATGTTTCAAGCAGCCCCAGCCTCCAAGGTCTGGGGTTGGTTTAGCTTTGAAGGCCGGGCTTCGGCTGGGTTTCGGTTTTTGGCCGTTAGCGCAAAATTCAGAAGCGTTGGAAAGCCAGCCCTGCTAAAAGCACTTACTTCTTAGGTGGGTTGAATGAACCCACAACCACTAAACCAAAAAAAAAACTGTGAGCAGGGGATGTGTCCAGTGGGCTAAGCACTAAACCAACAAACAGAAAACTGTGAGCAGGGGATCTGTCCACTGGGCTAAGCACTAAACCAACAAAAAAAAAGTGAGCAGGGGATCTGTCCACTGGGCTAAGCACTAAACCAATAAAAAGAAACTGTGAGCAGGGGATCTGTCCACTGGGCTAAGCACAACCAAAAAAAAACTGTGAGCAGGGGATCTGTCCACTGGGCTAAGCACTGAACCAACAAAAATAAACTGTGAGCAGGGGATCTGTCCACTGGGCTAAGCACCAAACCAACAAAAAGAAACTGTGAGCAGGGGATCTGTCCACTGGGCTAAGCACTAAACCAACAAACAAAAAACTGTGAGCAGGGGATCTGTCCACTGGGCTAAGCACTAAACCAACAAAAATAATCTGTGAGCAGGGGATCTGTCCACAGGGCTAAGCGCTAAACCAACAAAAAAACTGTGAGCAGGGGATCTGTCCACTGGGCTAAGCACTAAACCAACAAAAATAATCTGTGAGCAGGGGATCTGTCCACTGGGCTAAGCACTAAACCAACAAAAAAACTGTGAGCAGGGGATCTGTCCACTGGGCTAGGCACTAAACCAACAAAAAAACAATGTGGTCGTACAAACTCTCCAAGTTTCTTGAGTTTGAATCATTGAACCCTCGCACCACGTCCTTCGTCTCGTTGTGGAGCACCATAGGGCCCACCAGGTAGCGACGATCTTGGCATGGCGAAGACACATAAAAATTGCGGCACATGGTACGAGAGAAGGTCCTCCAGTGGAGAGGCTACAATAAGGGTACCTTTTTTTTCTGTAGTCTATTTTAGTAGGGGAGCCCTCCCCCAACAAAGGGTGAAAGGGCACTACTGGGAAACCTAGAAGGTCTGTTCACGACTGAAACGGTCCTATGAAGAAACTACCCACCGGTCAATGCTGCCGGGGGGAAAAAACTACGCGGAGTTGCAAAGCAGGAAAGGCATAGGCGAGGGGCGAGGAACGGCGAACCTTCTTGGGCACCGGAAGTTTCATGATACACAAAGAGCATATACATGTACATGCACATATCTATATATATATATTGCACGTATCTACATACATATGTATATATATATATATATTTATTCGCACATTTCTATATATTTTTCTATTTATATACAAATATGTACACATGTATCAATACATTATGTGCTTCATCAGCTTTAGGCATCTCAAGGGCCACCGCTCGGAGCCGCGCACTACGGACCCCCCCGGTACCTCATGCTGGAGGCGTGCGCCACGGCTCACTGCGCCAAGCGTCGAGCCGGTCGGCAGATCTTGCAAGCCACCGTGCACGCCTCCTTCTTCTTGTCCGCCCGGGACCTCAGCGACGATTTGGTCGGAAGAAGCACGCGGACCTGCGGATGGGTTGCAAAATCCAGTTTGCGCCACGAAATGAAACGACGGGACACCGTGGTTGCTGGGAATTTACACGCGGGTCAGCATTCCGGGGCTTCTTATGTGGTGCAAGATTTCGTCCATCCACAGTAGCACCCTGAGAAACGCCAGTAAAGTACCAAACTGCTGATTCCGAGGCAGGAACAAAAACGCTTCCATCAGGCCCTGCCACACAAATATTCACAAAGTGCCACAAGCTTCATGAAATCACACGTGCACAGTTCACCAGGCTGCCATCCAATTTCACTGGGCAGTTCGGTCTTGCGTGTCTTTGCTTGGCAGCACAACTTTTTCTTAACCCAAATGCTGTGGGGCGGAGCCGGCAGGCAAGGTTGTTTCATCACAACGCCATCCGGAAAAGGAGGAGCCTGCGACCATTGAAACTGCCAAAGCGAGCGCGTGCATCCTACGCCTGATTAACTAACACGCATGTGTGGCTTTAAAAAGAAACACTACAAAACACATGGCTGCTCTTGCTCCGACTGAATGCAACACGACCTGCTAGCCACTCCAACTGGCCACAAAACACTGGGCCAGTGCTGTCTGGTGGCTTTTCCTCCTCCAACAGGAAGTTGTCCCCGGAGTCTGTGGAAGTCCAGCCTGCAATATTCGCTTGCCTCTCGCTTACTCGGCCCTCTGGTCAGTCGTCCGACATCAGGATGCCCAAGATGGGTGTGGCTCAAAACCAAACGGGAGGGGTTACGCAGGTTTTGGGCCATGTTTCCACCTACCGGGTTCCATTTTGGTTGCGGCTTTTGGAGCCACAGCCAGATCTTCTCAAACCCCCTCCTTCCCTGACTGATCCCGCTTCCTTTTTTTCTGTCTGCATTTGCTTGTGCACGAATACAGCCCACCAGAAGTGGCGCATCAGGGTAGCAATGCGTAAGTATTGGAATTTGCAAGCACATTTCAAGGGATTGACATGTGAATGAGCACCATGTTTGCTTCTCGCGCTCCTTGTCTATTTCTGCTTTGCGAGTACACATGTGCCAAATCTTAACATTGCCTACAGGTCACGTTCCCGAATGCGAGCAAGTTGGAGAACAAACAGTGGAAAACTTGTTGGTGCTCAATAGAATGAACCCAGAGGTCCCCTTGAAGGAAACCACAAAGGATGGTGTATGAGAATCATTCCAACTCATCCCCTGCCTATCTCACCAGCAAGGAAGCCCGGATGGCAAGCTGCGCACAGGCGCGCACCCCGCCTTCCTTGCACTCCCCGTCCGCCGCGGCGGTGCGAAATGCCTCGGGCCAGCGATTCGCCGATGCCATGGGAATCCCCAAATGGGTATGGGTCAAAATAAACCCACCAGGATATGGACTGCAGGTACGCCATGTTTCCACTCATATATGCCAGGGTTCCATTTTGGCTACCTATATTTGACCCGCAGCCACGCCGCGACGAACAACAAATGAGACCTGACGAAGTTGATCGAGCGGCCTTCTTGTGCTTCAGGGCAGCCTGCATCTCGCTCTCTTCCTGGCATGGACCGCAGGCTCAGTTGCCACGGAAAAAAAAGGCGATCACCTTTTGGGGCCATGACTCTAAGACTGGACCAAATCAGGGAAAGCAAAAGGTTAAAAGGTCCATTCGCTTTGGGCAAGCGAGCAGACATGTTTCGAAGCTTTCGAACATCTCCCTGTCACAGGGTGATGCCACTTTTAGCAGAGGCCGTCCACAAAATTCCTACTAGCCCATTCAGCTTCGCCAAGGTACCCACACATTCAGGCACGCTTGTGGCGAACCACCTAGGGCAGCGTTTGAACATCGGCCCGAAACCCAAAACCACGGCCCGTCATGTGCGAGTTCGCGCGAAAGATCTGTTCCACCACCCCCATAAAGCATAGCAGAGACACAAACTTGTCATGGCCGCCTTTGCCGAACTCAAGGTTTCGGTTGGGCCACCAAAAACACCTACAGGTGTAAAAACAAACACATGCGAGACTTGTCGGCTGTAAAAAACAAACGGAAAAAATGCGTCGCCTCGGTTTCCTTCGCCGCTTCCCCGAAGTTGCCGTTCGCCGTGGCGCAGACATCCGCGATGCATGCACTGGGCGCAAGTTGCTAAGAACTGCCAATGCACAATGACAACTGCACACAAAAAAATGGGAAGGCAACAAAATTCAGACCACCAAAATTGGATGAAAGCTGGTTGAGCAACCACCTTTCCATCATTTCAGCCAGGACATCGTGACGTACACAGCTCTTTATGATTGCGTGACACTGGGGCCACGGCTTGTAGGTTGCTTCCTGTCAAGCACATGCCCGGAATGTGCGAGAAACAGTGCGAAAGAAGCCAAGCACATCTCCGCAGCCACTTGTCAACCTGCCCTCGCCTGGGTTGCCTGGGCCTCTTCATCCTCTTCGAGTTCCTCTTGCTCTTCCTTGGCATGTCTGAAGGCCAGCCACAAGACACGCAGCATCGCATCTCCGAATTAGCAAGGAGCATGGGTTCATGCGAAGACGGCCTACGCCTCCCAAGAAAAGGAGCCCTCAGTGCATGCAACGCCTTCCCGCGGCCATGCGGCAACAAACAGCTTGCTTACGCAAGGTACCGGACCCAGCGCGGTGCTTGCCCGGCTGCATAGCCAAGCGTCCTCCGTCTCTTCCTTTTTGAGGACCGCACAATCCTTCTGTGCTTCCTGCATCGCATGGTGCTGGCACCTGGCCTTTCAATCTGATGTTCACTGGTTTCTCATGGGAAGACATGAGACTTCCGGCTGTCCTCGAGCGCCTTGCCAGTGCATAGCCTTAGTCGAACATTGAGCCAACCGCCCTCGACAAAGACGGCGTTCATTCTTGCTACGGCCTGCAGGGGAGTTCTCACTATCTGCTCAAGGAGGAAAACTTTGGCCAGCTGCGGCGTAGAATCGCGTTTCGAGGGAGCCAAGGAATTGGAGCTGCATAAGGCAGAAAACAAAATGATACTTGGAAGACTGCATATGTGAGAAATGGGAAGCAACATGCAACAAGGCATAGCAGCCTAGACCAGGGCTCTATTCAACCACTTGCAGCCTGCACATGTAGGACTGCGTCGTGTACTCAAAGAATTGGAACAAAGTCAAACAAAGCCTCACCGTGCCGCCTGACGCACTGACTGAACAACACGCCAAAAGCAGAAAAGATCCACACGCTGGGGATCAGGGTCAATCACAGTGCGACCATGTTTCCTCCAAACTGAGAATTGTTGGTGAATGATGCTACATTGTCACGTGGTGGGCGTGGTGCATAACACCTGTCCATCTGAAGTGTCTCGACCCAAAAAAGAACCCACCAGTTGGCCAAGATCTCCAAAGGCCGCCAAGAAGCTGGGGCTCGTCACTGACTTTTAGCGACTGGTTGAGCGCCAGAGTTTCAATGCCATCTTCCACATCATCTGTGTCCAGCCTGGGGCTCCAGAAAGCTGTTCTTGGGACCCACTTGGTGCAAAAGTTCGGGGCACAGGGATGGATGGCCCATGGACCATGTGGCGCTTCAAAACTCGCGGCCATTCAACATGGCTTACTTCCCAGGATTAATAAACCCGTCCCATTATTAGGGGGGTGTTCTCTCCAAAAGTGATAAATCCCCACTAAAAGGGGACACCCCCCTATTAATCAACATGGGGTTTATTAATCCGGGGTTAACATTAGCGGCGTTCACCTCCACAAAGGAAGCACGCATGCAACGGACTGCTCTTTGTTGGTTTCCCTGACTACAAATTATCATTATCGCCAATGATTCACCCCAGGAAGCGTTCAAAAGCTGCTCAAAACCAGGCACGCATTTGGTTGCCCCTTGAAAGATGATTGCGCGCAATGGGCACGCGAAAAACCATGTGCAGAATCCTGGCCTGGCATATCGTTTCTGGCATCTTGTTTGTTTCAGTCAGAATGCAACCCATGGACACCAGGATAGAAATGGTGATTGGTGCCACATCATTGTGTATTGATCTGGTCGATTTCATACTGTGGCTTGGCTGAAGCATGACACTCGTTGACCACCAAGTGGTTGGGTGTCTGCTGCCTGTGTGAGAGGGGCGCGCCGGTTTAGCATGCTCAGCCGTCTGTTCGCCCTTGCTTCCCACTTAGGCGAAAGGTCAATAACCAATTTAAAATTAACATCGCTACTCTCCGTGGTAGCATATCGAGGCTGGAGGCTCTCTGGCATGTTCCCTACGAACAGCTTTTTATTGGCCTAAAGCATCAAATTGGTGAACTAAATGCCTAAAGCGCATGCGCAAACACGTGTAGCAATTCTGGCGTGCTTTTTTCTCTCCAACCCTAATCAGAGACATTTTTTCTCACACAGCTACAAAGGGCAAACAGGTTGGAACTCAAACCACTTGGACTTTTGCCTTTCAGCCCAGCAAAAGCAATCTCTGCTTTTAAAAGCCATGGGCAAGCACAAGAACAACTCGGGATGGTCTGGCCCGTTTTTTTTTTTTTGTTTCGCTCTTTTTTTTCTTCTGCCATAGCCATGTGTAACACAAGAAAAACTCGGGATGGTCTGACCATCCTAAATTTCTGAGGCTGCGACAAGCTGGCCATTGCCGTAAGTGAGTCCAGCTTCGCTTCCTGAGGTGATGCCAAAGACTTTCCATTTAAAGAGGCCTTCTGGGAGCTTCCGGCTGTTAGTCGAGTGAAAAAGGTTTTGCTCACATGACGGCTTGGCTTCCATGCAAGCTCACGAAACCCTACAGATCGTACACTTTGGGACTTTGCTTTGACAATCCTTTCTTGTAGCTTGCTCTCCAGCAGGTGTCCAACTGTGATACTGCTGTTGCTGTGAACCGCTCCAGGACTGGCAGAGTTGTGCTGTCGAGGCATTGGATTTCACAATTTCGCCTAGTCGGGCTGAGCCGAAACCGGGTGAAACAAAACTTGACCATGGAAAACACCAGCAAATTGGAGATACCAGCAAACTATGCAAAATACTAACAATTTGGGAAACCGATGAGAAATACCAGCAAGGGCATCAATTTTCAGCATCCAGCTTGAATTGAATTTCGATGTTCGAACATATTAGGCCGGTCCATCAAACATAGCCACACATCCAAATTTGCCATTCTTGCCGGATGTCCTGCCCTTCCAAACCAGGCCGTTTCAGCAGCAGATGTGACAAGTGCAGAGCTGGTGAGACTTCCCATGACATTGGCATGCGGCACATGACAAGTTCAGGACTGAAGGGGGGAATGACTTTGTTGATTGGTCGCGAGTGGCGAGTAACAAGAAGCTATGCACCACTCTTGGCTGCTGGTGGTACCAAGCTGCGATGTGGGCCTTGCTCTTCTGGAACAAGTCATAGTCGCTATTCACCTCACCCAGCCCAATGCAGCGACGGCCATACCGGCCAAGTGTCCGGCAACTTAATAGTTGGGTGTGCTGCCGGTTTGGCTGTGGTGGGTTTGATATGGGACATCACCCGCCCTTGTGGGTCTAAATCTGGCGAGTGCCTTTTTCTATGCCCTAGCTAGCTAACCGGCGCACAGATCCCGCACAGGTTCATGTTGCTTGGGTGGGGGGGGCAGGTCCATTGCGCGTCGGCTTTTTTTTGGTCGAACCTGCCCCAAGAGTCGATCACAAAAGCCAAGCTGTGGCTGTGCTGGCCATGTCAAGCGGTTCAAGCAGCCCAAAACAGCTTGGCAATGCTCCACCAAGAAATGAAGTCAACATGATGAAGAGAAGACTTGTCAGCCGCGTGCCGTCAATTCGAGATGGCTCGCAGCGAGGACTCCAAACGATTGCTGGAATGCATTGAAGTCAAGGTGGTCATGCACAATTGATGAGGGAACACTTGACCGTCAACACGTGGGCTTAAGCACAGGGTCGTCAAGATCATGCTGTCCAGGCCAAGGAAGCTAGTTAGAAATGTAATTCGGATTAATCCAGAGGAACATGGTCCTCAGTCTGAATGCAAACTTGGGGCATGGTCAGAGCTGCTGTGTGGTTCCAAAGGCACGGAATCAGGTGAACGGTCGGAAGAGGTGAGATAAAACATGATAAAGCAAGAAAACTCCGCTGAGGTTCAACGTGTCCATTGCTCAAGCTTGCCGAAGCCAGGTCAAAGTGGTCGCCGCACAAACAAACTTTAACCTGTTTCACGCGAACTAAACACGCGAGAGCGTGGCCGTGGCAGCATTGAAATCAGGTGTCAGAGAAAAGGTGAACAAGACACAGTGCATTGCATTGTTCAATCACCGGTCCCAGTGAAAATTGGATACCTTCCTACAAGGATTGAGCAAATTTGCATGTGAAGTAAACATAAGAGTGTTCAATAGGGGAGGTCAAGCAATCTTGCCCCAGTAGAAACTGCGAGCACCACGTTTCAACATAGGATTCCAGCAAACGCAGTTCAAAGACAGGCAGCCGACATGGAAGCTCTTTGCAAGCCATGTGACATGTGAACAGAAAGAAAGCCATAAGATGATACACACAGAAGCCAGAATGAGACTCCCTGATGGACAAGCAACAGGGAGGGGCAGATGCCAGCGTGCCGAACACAGGGGTTCACTCAACTTGAGTGTGTTGAAGTATGTACGGTTGACCTGACTTGTTGTTAGTAACAAAGTCGCTTTCTGAAACGAACATCGTCACGAGCAAATAAAGCTACCATGACAGCGCTTAGCTAACCCACATCTACATTGCGTCAGGTTGGTGAATATCACGAAGTCGTGCAGAATCGCCCCATGCTGCCAACCTCACCACGCCCTTCACCTACCAGCAAAATGAGCATGGGCCATGCCAACGTAGTTTCACTCGGCCGTAACACGCATGCGGGCAGGCACTTGAACAAACAAGAATAACACTGCTACCTTGGCGACCTTTGTGGTGATGTTCTTGGCTTGCCCCTTCAACTGAGACAGCTTCAGCAAACGGGCTGATTGTATGGGCCCATGCGTAAACCGCAATATTGGGCCCCTTCAATTCCAAGAACGCCAATTTCAATCCCAAAATCATGAGCCCCCAGCCCTCAGGCAGCCGGGATGCCAATTTATCATCCCCAGATGGGGACCATACGTTGCGAGGGTGCGGCAGCTCAATAGCCTCGCCCGCGAAGGTCCCGTCTTTGCACCTCAAGTGATTTCAGGGATCCTTGCACGTCAAATGGCGAACAATTTGAGGAAACTTTGGGTGTGGCACAAAATGAAAGAGCAAGGGTTAGGCAGGTGTTTGTCTTTACCAAGGTGCAAATCTTGTACATTCTTTGAGCCACAGCCTTTTCAAAGGATGAAGTCTCTAAACGGTGGCGCCCCAAACAGCGTTCTTTTGCTGTCTCTTCAAGCAATCACAAAAGGGCTTCGCTTCAAAATGCCAATGTTCATTCAGCCTGTGATTCAATTGACAGGGGTCTTCACAGGCCCCTGCAAGAAGGGGAACCATTTGAACGCTGACCCAAACGTGGGAAAGGGGCTGCCCGCATAAGCCCAAAAGGCGAGGGGCCCTGTCAGTAAGGCTGTGTCTGTCGCTTTGGGCGATGCAGTCTCTTGATCAATCACTTGATGCAGCTCAGGCACGTCTTTGTCCTCACAGTTTGGGTGACCAAGCGCCCACAGCAAAGAACAAGTCATGCGGGTCTGTCTTTTTGTTGATGGTATCCCTTTGTTTGATGGTGCGAGGAAATTACCAAGCAATCATTTTAGGAGGGTCCGCTCCAAGCTCGGAGTTGCAAACCTCCATGTTCAGCCGGCGCTTGCAATGTCAATGCTCCGACTTGAAGCCGTGTGTTCCACTCTGAGGCTGAGGCCAGAAATTGTTCTGCGTGTAGTAATCCTGAGGATGGATTGTGACCGTCGGCCGGAGAAGCGAAGGCACGGCCACATCTGGATCTACTCCGGATGACACACATCCGGTGTGCCCGCTTTCATGCCGGGCGGCTGTGTAGTAGAAGCCGGAGACCTCGAATAAGTTTCAGAGGAACGCGATACACTGAGCTCAGCACACCGCAGAAAGCTAAACGCAGGCTTTGCTTCACGGGCTGCGTGCTTGCAAACAGAAACTGTGTGTGGGGCTCTCTGCCTAGGCGGGTGACCAACACAAACACTCCTGAGAGGAAGGACGCTTGATCCTGGACGGGGTGCATGAGTCCAATTCGTCTCCAGTGCATCCACATCTGCAACACGAGCTATCCCTGGCTCCAACCAGCAGAGATGCTACCAATGCACTCCCGCAAGCCAAACATCCAAAAGGGCGATTGCCTTCAAAAAGAGGCAAGACATGCCCTTCCATATTTGCTTCTGAGAGGATGTTCTTGCCTTTGGTGTCTAGAAGTTTCTCTTGCGCCAAGCAGCTTTGATATTGTTTTCGCGGTTCCAGCCCGACCGGCTAGCCTTGTATGTGACGCCATAGCCTCGGGACGGACACTGCCAAGGCCAAGAGTCAGCCGACCAATTCACGAAGCATAATTTTGAGCTTGAACCTTTTTTTTGGACTCAGTCATCACTGAACTACCAGAATAAACACTAAGAATCCATTCGGGCACACTTGTACCATCGGCCTCGTCGCAACTCATTGGTTGGCAGTAATGCCGGTAGCCGATTCATCAAAGGGTGGCAAACACAATAACGTGTTTCCAACTTCGCCTCTACCCCCCAAATGAAAAGGGGTTCCAAACACACAAGTTCGAACAGGCTAGTTTTGGAAGCTGCCAAAAGGCCAGATCCACTGTTTCTGGATGTTCCTCCAATATGGCCCAATGGTGACGGATGCATGTTTCCATCACGAGCAGCTAGCAACGCAACCCGAGCACCTCCAAGCAAGCGACGGCTCCCGGGTCTTCTGTTGACGTCCCTCCGATTTCCATGCGCTGCGAGCAAAAACGGCCCCTCGTTGGCCCACTTTTGGCAAATGCTTGCCTCAAAGGCATCCACAGAGTTTGGCAGAAAGCCATTTTTCACCCCCGCTACAACCCCATGTCATGATTAGCGTGGGGACCAGTTATAGAATGTGTATTTTATTGTTTGCTTCGCCTTTGAGTCACAGGCAAAATGTACAAACATGTATCCTAAGTCTACCCCAGATGTGCGTAAAAACGGCCTTCCAGCCGTAACAAAAACCAACTATGAATCAAGCTGTAGCCAATCCTTCTGCACATGGAAGCTCCTGTCGTTCGAGGAGTGCCCCCTCTGCATTGATTTCATGTCAAGTTATGGTCCGGTTCGCCAGGACCAGAGAGGACCGGAGAGGACCGGAGACCGGATTCAGAGAATCTCAATGCTCAAGAACCTTGTCCATCATGGTCAAAACGGGGAGCCGGTGTCGCAAAACAGGGGTCCCAGGCTCGAATCCCCCTGCCGGCTGTTTGCTGGTTTGGGTTTCCTGCCTCCTTTTTTGCGAAAATCTGGAAAAACTCTGTGTTTTTGGACGTCCTCTTTGCGAAAACGCTGGAAAAACCGTATTTTTTTTGCGGGAAATACTGCGGAGCACAAGGGGAAATGCAAGGAAGTGCAAGGAAATGAGGGGAGGAAATAGGAAGTCGACATGACAGGAAAGCAACGGGAAATGAAAGGGAAACAAAGGGGAACTGAGGAGAGTGCAGGGGGAATGAAAACGACGGGATATGTAGGGAACTGACTCGCAACGAAAGAACGGGACATGCATGGAAAATGAAGCGGACATACCGAGAAAATGACAGGGACATGAAGGGGGAGTTGAAAGGAATGGAAGGGACATGACCAGGACATCATGGGAAACGTGAAAAGGACATGAAGGGGAAATCAAGGGGAAAGCCAGTAGTGAGATGACAGTGCAAGGTCATGAAGGGGCAGTGCCCGGACATCGAGGCAACTCAGGGGGGACGTGACGCTGCAATGCAGAGAGAGAGAGGGAGAGACAGGGAGAGAGCGGGAGAGAGAGAGAGAGAGAGGGAGAGAGAGAGACACAGAGAGCGGGAAAGAGAGAGAGAGAGAGAGACAGAGACAGAGCCAGAGTCACAGAAAGAGACAGAGTAAGAGACAAACAAAGAGGGAGAGAGAGAGAGAGAGAGAGAGAGACAGAGAGAGGCACAGAAAGACAGAGAGAGAGAGAGAGAGACAGAGAGAAAGAGCGAGAAAGAGAGAGAGAGAGAGAGAGAGAGACTCGGTCCTCCAGTAGAGAGGTTAGAATAAGGGTGCCCTTTTTCTGTAGAGGGGCGTGGACAGGAAGGAGACAGGGAGACAGAAAGAGACAGAGTAACAGAGAGAGAGAGAGAGAGAGAGAGAGAGAGAGAGAGAGAGAGAGAGCGAGAGAGAGAAAGAGATAGAGAGAGACAGAGAGAGGCAGATTGAGGAGAGAGAGGCTTGGGGGGATGGGGAGGATGGGGAGCAAAGGAAAAACGGAACAAGAAACGGAACACGACAGCTCTTAGACGTGCACAGCCCTCGATATCTTGCAAATGGAGGCGGTCTCTCACGAAGCAACAGACAGCAACAGGCTTTGTTGAACAGAGCTGTGGGAAATGGAATCCACTTCTACAACAGCAAGGGCTTCCCAAACACTAACCCCCCCATATACACGGGAAGATTCCCTTGTATCACAGAAGTGGGGGTAAACCCCCTGATCCACCAGCCCTGTTGAAGGATATAAATCCATCAAGCAAATGTTTCAGGGTTGTGGGATCCTTGCCATCAGCTGGCCATTTGTTTTGCTTTTTGGCCCCTGCGCTCGCTGGTTTCCGCGCCGAGTGGCTGAGCCCCACCTCAATCTTACTGCTGGTCCAGGTGATCGAGAGCTGAGTGCCGCCGAGGTTGTAGTTCCATGAGCTGCCCTGAGAGAGGGAATTCCGGAAGGGAGCTACCAAAAGCAAAACTAGGGTGTGTGCGTGTGTGTGCATGTGTGTGTGTGTGTGTGGAGTGGTGTGGTGTGGTGTGGTGTGCTGTGGTGTGGTGTGCTGTGCTGTGGTGAGGTTGGGCTGGGTTGGGTTGGGTTGGGTTGGGTTGGGGTGGCGTGGGTTGGGTTGGGTTGGGGTGGGGTGTAGTGTGTGTGTGTGTAGTGTGTATGTGTGCGTGTGTATGTGTGTCGTGTGTGTGTGTGTGTGCTGTGTATGTGTGTGGTGGGCCATGCCACGTACTGCATGCTAAACATGTGGACTTTGGCAGTCACGGTTCAAATGATCAGGCCCGCAGCAGCTACAAAACAGCATCTGTAGAAGCCAGCATAAGTTAAACAGCATCTCTAAATTGTAGAATTGTAGGCGGTATAGAAACAAGCATCCGGCATGTCTGAACTCTAGAAGAAGTGGAAAATGGGGGGCTAACAGCACTTGTAGAAACAAGCATCCAGGGAGAAAAGGCAACCGCGACTAGCCAAAAGCCAACCGTTGACGGCTTGCTAAACATTCACTAGGTGTCATCCAAATGGCTTGCTGGTGCGATAGCTAGGGAACCGAGTGTTGGGAACAAACCGTTTGGGAATTCCCGAACAGAGCAAACCACAGGGGATGGTTGAGGGGGCTCGCTCCCTCATTGCCTGCTCGCTTCGATCTCTCAACGCCCCGCGCGCACAGGGACCCAACGCATGTCGAGCAATCTGCTACAGCTGCCTCGCAAGCCACCGAAAATCCACAAAGAATCCCACTGACATCCCCAGCATTCCCCAGCAAACCCTGAAACCTCCAGCGCATGTGACGACTTCTTCTCAAGCATGCGTCAGGAGACTGGCACATGCCATAGGTGAATTGAAGGAAATAACGTGGGTGCAGCATGGTTCCCGATCACCAGGCAAGATTTCAGGATCTGCGCTGACTGAGGCCAGGCACACTCCCCTGCCAAACGTTGGCGATCGGCTGGTCGTTCCACTTCACAACCCACGACGGGTTGTTGTTGACGCCTGGGCACGCCGTTTCAATCGCGCTTGCCCCACCTGCCCTTGCCAGAGCTTCTATGCATGGAAGCCATCGTGAGGCCAAGGCAAATGCACAGATACAGCTCAACTCCTTGCGACCTTCCGCCGCATAAGTGAGGCCAGTGACAACCCCTTGCCCACACTTGAAAAAGAACATTTGCCCAAAAATGAACCCTCACTTCCCGAGTTTTGATGGTCCCAAAGAAGCCTGAACTTGTTGTTGGCCACTAAAATGGCTCAAACCCAAAACATGACTCAAGTCCGGGAAGTCGGGCAAGAAACAGACCACTTGCGGCCGAGCAGCGGATGGTGAGGACGTTCTTGCTCAGGAACAGGCCGCCGAAGGCGGCACCCATGGTCACAGAGGGGCTGCGCGGGCCGTAGAGGCCCTGCACCCACATGAAGTTGGGACTGCCCGGGCAGCTCCTAAGCTCAAGCTTGCCCCTGAACCTGATGAGGGTTTCCCCCCTCTCGGGGTTGAAGAGGTGGTATACTCATCAAGATCCACCATTACCAGTCTGGCTCCTTGTGAGGTGACAAGGTCAGCTCAAGCTTTCCATGTGGCCATGAGTCAAAATCCAAATCGTACCCAGTGAACATCCCAATCCAACCACTAGAATAGACTAAAATGGGTGGTGAATTCACCTACCCCAAAATGGTACCATTGGTGTTGACCCACAGCCATGTAAGTGATTTGTGAACCTCTCATCAAGTTCCACCACTACCTTGGGTCTGCTGCTGCTGCTGCTGATGGCTGCTCATGATGCTGCTGATGCTGCTGTCGTGATTTTGGTTGTCGTTGTGCTCGCTTTAGGTCGGGGATGCCACGAGAAGCAAACAGAGAAGGGCGACTACTTGCCATTGCATCAGCTGAGCATTTCGAGCCTACGCCTAAAACTCGCCCCAGCTCGTGCGCACTCGATCCTCCTGAATGCTCAACATTGAGAAGTCTTTTTTCAAGAATGGGCCTCCAAATGCCTCCAAGCACGTCCAAGCTCCTAAAGATAGGCAAGACCATAGGTTCCATTCTTGGTTCAAATGGCCCTGGTAGATTAATAACCAGGTCCATCTATTTTCGACCACTTGGTCGCCGACAAGACCTCTCCGCAAAACGTGTGTCACTTTCTGTGGGCCCAATGGAAAACCCACCTTCTCCCAAAAGGCCAAAAAATCCAAAGAACCGCGCCCGAACGGCTATGAATTCTAATGGGGAATTTTCTGAATAGTGCTTGGTGGACATAAATCCCGACCTAAATGATGTCCACCAAAGGGACCCTAATTGAAACTACCTAAATGATGTCCATCAAAGGGGCCCCTAATTAACACTCATAGCCAAATAGCCATAGAGAACCAACAAGCAACCTGGCATTGCCAAGTGGCTGCTTGAAGACCCAGTGCGTTCCCGGCACCAAGGGATCAGAGCGGCGCCCGCCATCTGAGTCGATTTTGCGGAATTGGTCCCCCAGTTTGCTTCCATTTGCTTTTTGAAGCCCTGGAAAAAGTACAAATATTGCCAGTAGTGATAGATTCCCTTTAACACCAACAGGGGAAATATGCAATAAATATGACATGTTCCTAAGTAAATGGAAGTTTGAATTGGTCCCGAAGCCCCACGAGAAACCAGTCAGCTGATCTCTGCATCCAATCAAACCCCTGATTGTGGCTCTGCCGTTTGCAACTCTCCTGCCTTTGGCCTTACAAATCTGAGGAATGCTAGTCTTGCCAAATGAGACGTCAACAAATCAAACAAGCTACGCAGTCTGCAAGGCCTAATTAGTATCCTCAAGCTGTAGCCTTGTTAGTTCCACTCGCCGGAGGCTCTCACTTTAATCTACAGGTTTCCAAAGTGTGCATCCAGTAGCTTAATGCCTCTCTGCCGCACGCACCTTCCGAAACATGTCATGCCAATCCGAGCGAACCATCTAAAAACCTGCGGTCATCATGTTCACCATTTCCATGAAGTTATCAGCGTCAGAATCTGGATAGGCTTCTCTCGAACTGGCCACTTTAAAAATGACTTTGACACTGGTACCGAACCATCTCACAACCGCTACTTGGGCGCTGTAGATCCCCCAGCAAAAAGTTTAACTGTTTGCTGGCTAAAAGGAAATATGAGGTGAATCGAAAAAGTTCAAGTCTAAAAATCCAAGCCAACAGCAGTAGAGGCTATTCACCCCCACAACCCCTCGCCGGATTGACTTCGGGGGCCAAGTGCCAAGGCGTGGCCGAGCCACGGCAGGTGAAGTGCGGATCTCCGGTCCAGCAGTTGTAGAAGTCCCCGCCGATAGGCGGCGGCCCGGTCCTTGGGGGGCGGGATTATTTTTCCCCAACAGCTGAAAGCTTTGGGGTCTCAGCTCAGGTAGGCTCCGGGGTGGTCTGGGGCGGCCCTGACATAAGGTTCCACGAGGGTTCCACCAGGGTTCCACGACGGTTCCACCAGGGTTCTGCAAGGTAAGGTTCCACGAAGGTTCCACCACCAGGGTTTTAGCAGGGTTCCACGAGGTTCTTCGAGGGCTTTGAGGTAAGGTTCCACGAGGGTCTGTTTGCGGCCACAAGGGTTCCACGAGGGTTCCACCAGGTTCTGCTAGGTAAGGTTCCATGAAGGTTCTACCAGGAGGGCTGCGGGGTGGTCCGGGGTGGTTTGGGGTAAGGTTCCACGAGGGTCTGTTTGCGGGGCACCAGGTTGTTCCATGAAGGTTCCACCACCACCGTTCTAGCAGGGTTCCACCAGGTTGTTCAAGGGCTGCGGGGTGGTCCGGGGTGGTTCGACCACGAGGGTCTGTTTGCGGTGCACGAGACAAGGGTTCCGCGAGGCTTTCACCCATTTGAACCAGGGTTGCACCAGGTTCTGCAAGGTAAGGTTCCATGAAGGTCCCAGAAAACAGAGGTAGGGTTCCATGAGGGTTCAGGGTTCCACGAGGGCTGTGGGACGGTCCGGGCGGCCCTGACATCTGCAAGAATTCCGCAAGAGTTTCACAAGGCTCCACAAGTTCCACGAGGGTTCCAGAAATGTTCTGCAAGGTTCCGTGGTTTGCCCTGAGGCAAGCAGTGTGTCGCGCGCCCGCCGTCTGAAAAGCCATCCGAGCAGAAAATTGAGGGCTCAGAAGCTCGCCTTGCTCATGGGCGGAACACAAAGCAAAACCGAATTCAGTGGATTTCAGCAATCTTTCACTGTTTTGTCACTTGCTCACTTGCTCAGGCAACGCGGCCCGAAATGTTGGCTTTGTGGCAAATCAAATCACGTTGCTGCGGGACTCACGGTGCAGCAGAGTACATGCTTGGCATTGCTGAGTATTACTTGGTGGGCTTTGGGTTTCAAGAATTCCACGAGGCTGCAAGGGCTGTGGGGTAAGGTTCCAAAACCGCTTCCACCAGGTTCTGCAAAAGCTATGGGGCAGCCCTGAGGAAAGGCCCCAACAAAGTTTCACGCTGAGTTCCACGAGATTTCACGAGGACGGTTTGCGAGGTTCACCGGGCCCGCCCCGATTGCACCGATCGGGTTTATAAAGTTACAAGGCGGCATCCTAGCAACACCGGCGGTGAGGTGAATTCCGGGGCGTTCCGCGAGGATTCTGGGAGGGTGTGGTGCTGTTGGGGATATCGCCTGAGCTTTTTTCTTTTTTTTTGGGGGGGGGGATTTGTTCTTCATTTTTCTTTTTTTTTTGGGGGGGGGGGGGGGAATTTTGGAGGGGGTGGGGGGGGGGGGATTGTTGGGGTTGCACTCGAAGGCTTTTGTGGGGAGATCCTGGCAAAAACCCGGGGTGGTGCACAGAAAAACGGGTCTGGGCACTGCCGTACTTTGTCAACAAACCGGTTGCAACAGGCAGATTGCACTTTCACCAAAGTTCAAAGCTACGGGCTTCAACACATGAGCTTGACTTTTGGTCTTGTCACTCTGAATGAAACACAAGACGAAAACCGCGGAAAGCTCCGAACCAGTGCTTTTATGGCTGTTGATAGGCCAGGCCAGCTGCTGTCAGCGATGTCAACTTGTTGTTTGAACAGGTCGCCAACCTGCCACAAACACAAAGAGCCCCATGCGAGCCGAGCAGCTGGCAAAAGACCGGCAAGCCAGTCCTGACAATGGCGGATTGCAGAAGAGAGAGAGAGAGAGAGAGAGAGAGAGAGAGAGAGAGAGAGAGAGAGAGAGAGAGAGAGAGAGCGAGAGCAGAATTTGCCTGGAACATCCCCCCTACATTGAGAGGGAGGCGGGAAAAGGGGGGTCCCCCAATTCCATTTTTTATCTACAGGAGTCTTCCACGGAAATGGGAAAATGAAAGCATGAATGGAAACTCAGGGGTTACCCCCTCCCCCAACTTCATTTTAAGGGGGTGGAGGTCCTGAAACATGGTTCGCAGGAAATTACAAGGCGCCACTCTTAGCCGGCATGTTGCGGGCATCTACAGCTGCTATATACGTAATACCCAAGGAAAGGCTCTACTCACAGAACCCACTGCTCGCCAACGCGGACGAATTTCAATGCAACACAGTGCCTGCCTTGCAACGTAAACAAGGCCACATACATACTGTCAAAGAAACAACATGCAACAACACACGCGAATTGCTTCAGCAGAGCAATGCCGGTTCAATAACTTTGCCAAGTGACAGCGAGCCGTCATTGCACTCCAGGGATGCCTTGTTGGGCATGTAGCCCGCCTTGGGCAACAGCATCTTAGGTACGCAAGCATCCATCACTGCACCCAATGAAGGTTCAGCCCATTCAGCATTTGTCCTCAGAGACTCCTCAGAGGGTTGGAAATCCGTTTCAAGTGCCAGCTCGAAGTGACTGGCCCCCTGTTGAATCGGAACTCACGAGCCCAGCGGCATTGCACTGAGTGGTGCAGGACTTGCCGTGCTCAATGCTGCTGCCCTCCTTGCAAACGCCATTGGAGTGAAGCACCTGGGTGGCGATTCGGCTGGGCAACAACCGCCATGTCGGTTGCAACAGGACAGCCTCAAGATATATTACGCCATCAGGTCCGCAGTCCCTTTCAAAAAGAGAGCATGAAACAAGAAAAACAACAAAAACAAACATGACCTCTTTCCGCTGCCATGGCAATGGCATAGGCACAACACTTCCTAGTGAACACAGGCAGCCGTGTGGTTTAAAGCCGTGGTGGCTTGTGAATTGACGCCAAGCCAAAATCCGCAAAAAACAGCAACGAATCGCAAGAAACTATGAGGAGAGCACCGTCAACACAATCCATACTCGGTTGCTTTCTGCCCCCCTGCTATAACAGTTTTAAACTTTAGTGGTTTAATACGGAAAACCCATCTAGACGTCGGCAAAAAGCTCTCAAGTCCGAACATCCCTGGGCAAAACTGTGGCAAAATGCACCAAAGCATAAAAAACTCCGCAAACAGCTGCAACGAATCGCAAATACGAGGAGAGCACCCCTTCAACACAAGCCATAGACATTCGTTTCACCTTCTCGCCGCTTGCCCCGCTCTCGCTGCCTTCGGCCCAAGGCGCGTTCGGCGCGGCGCAGGGCGCCTAGCGGTGGTCACTTGGCCAGTGAGCCCCCCCCAAAAAAAAGTATACACTTTTTGGGGCTCCACTAAAGGAGAGCCACCATGGAAAAACGTGTAAAGAGTGTCCACTGGGTGAGTTTAGCACTGTTTAGCAGAAGTACAGGGAGTTCCCTGGATCCAAGCGGATTCAAACGCAGTTAAGGCCATAAACAAGGCGTCTGCACCCAGAAAGAAATTCGTTCAGGGCTGTTGAGATGACAAAAACTGGACCAGGACCAACAAGCGGCAAGGTGCATTGGCCAACCAGAACAACTCAAACTGCATAGTCTATGCGCTTGTCATCTCTAGCCCGCCTTGCCTGGTCCGCAAAGCATCACTTCAAGGGATGTTTCCCCATTTTCCACTCAGAGTCTGTTTCGTGACCCGCGCGTGGCATGCAACGAAGTCGGCGTGCACCTGAAGAAAAGCATCGAACTGCTTCCCAGGGGGCCCTGCTCCACATGATCGATCAGCCCAGCAAGGGTGCACGGCCAGACGGGTTCAATTGCTGAGCTAAGGCCAATCCCATGTTTCGGAATGCGGGACCCCGCTTCCATTTGGATGTCAGGACTACAGATTCAAAGGCCCAAAATGAACGAGAACTGGACCCGAACACTTATAACAGCCGTTTCCCGTGTTCAAAGCGGTTCATGGTACCTGCGCACACCTCACCATTCTTCGGCGATGTGACACTTACCCGGCCTTGCAAAGGAAGGTCGCTGGGCTCAAGGTGCCGGCACTGCATGAGAGGGATGACTCTGAGGCAGAGTATCCGCTCTTGCCTTGGCATTGAAAATTGCAGGAGCCGCGCCACTAAGGAGAACCAATGGGAACGGTTGCACACGCTTCACTGGCTGAGCTCGGAATCAAGCACGTTGCCCTGCAAAAAACATGGTATTGATGCTCTGGGTAGGTATTCTGGTGATGCAGGATTCGATCCACCAACAGCACGGGTCTGCCGCAAACTGAAGCCAATATCCTAAGAACTATTCCCAGAACTTGATCCAACTTGAGGGGTGAACGGAAGCCAGCCAGCCCAAGGGCATGTACGACCCAGTGGTTGCCAAGACATTAAACATGATCCACCATAGATTTAGACCAGAAAGTCAAAACCCGAACTCGGACCAACTGGTAATGAGAAAGACTCAGCGCATGGGGCTAGGGGAGTATGATGGTCGCGCGTGGGGACGGAAAGAATCGAACCCTTCGAATGACGGCGAGTGATTCACTGGAAACTGGACTTGTTGCATGTTGCGCCCTGTAAAGCTTGCTGCTCGGGTGGGAATGACTTGGCGAGACCTGGTGTTGGGGGATGCACCGTTTGAAGGATACCCTTTAAGAAAACCATAGGCGATGATGGCGACGGTTTAATTCCCTGAGAACCAGCAATCAGGCCCGGATCAAGTACTTGGCTGAAGCCTGGGCAAGGATTCCAGGGCTGCCCCCCTTGGAGAAGCAGAACCGGGCGTGTCGCACACCAAACTCTGCCAAGCCACACTTTGGAGTGCACCTCTTCCCATGGTCAACGCTGTTGCCCTGGCAAGAGGGGCAATGCAAAAGTCCCTGGAACTTTTAAAGTTTCCGGAGTGGTGCAAACATGGGGGCAACAAGCACTGCCATGTCCCCACGAGCAACTCTCGCTTTGCCAACCTGATGTCGGACGGCATTTTACTGCACTCAAGTTCACTCGCGGCTTCGCGCTAGAGTCCTTAACAAAAGCGACCTGTCACTTGTGCTGGTGGGCAAAGTCGGAGAAACACGCCCGAGGCACAATACTTCCTATCAAAACCTGCCCTCAAAGCATTTCCTGAATGAGGGCGATGGAGCATCCAGTGCAGGCCGCGTCGTACTGCCAGACCATGGAGCCTTCGTACTTGCAATGGTCCGCGCAAGTGGGTGTGGCCGCAATTGCGGTGGCGGGCATGGAAGCAGCGCAATCCTTGCAGCCCGGATCATAGCCCATAATGGCGGCACCCTCATACTTGCAATGGTCAGCGCAGCCGGTGGTTGATCCGCTCGTGGTCTGAAGAAGCGCCATTTTCTGCACCAGAGCAGGGGAACAGCCTTTGCAGGAAGGATCGTACTGCCAGACCTGGCAGGGTTTGCTTGCATACTGTCGCATGCCTGTCAAGAAATCACATCCGAACATCCAAAACAAGTTTCGTTCAGAACTCTTGCGCCTGCGACCCCTCGTACTGGCAGTGGTCCTCGCAAGATCCCGATGCCATCGGAGCAGCCCCCAGCGGATCGGGAGTGCAATCCGAACAAGCCGAGTCGTACTTCCAAACCGCGACACCCTCATACTGGCCTAAGCTGCGTCAGTCTCCGTCCAATGGCAACCCATCCAAATTGGCAGAAAGCAAATCATGCGCTACCAACATACCGCGACGATATACCAACAGACCGCGACAACCGTATATAAGTAGCATCATGAAAAACATGGCGTTGCTGGATAGCCAAGTTGCAGTGGTCTGCGCATCCGGTGGATGCTTTGGAGTTAGACCCACTGGATGCCGTTTGCAACAGCATTTCCTGCACGAGGGCGACGGAGCATCCCGTGCACTCGCCGTCGTACTGCCAGACCATGGAGCCTTCGTACTTGCAATGGCCCGCGCAAGTGGGCGTGGCCGCAATTGCGGTGGCGGGCATGGAAGCAGCGCAATCCTTGCAGCCCGGATCATAGCCCATAATGGCGGCACCCTCATACTTGCAATGGTCAGCGCAGCCGGTGGTTGATCCGCTCGTGGTCTGAAGAAGCGCCATTTTCTGCACCAGAGCAGGGGAACAGCCTTTGCAGGAAGGATCGTACTGCCACACCTGACAGGGTTTGCTTGCATACTGTCGCATGCCTGTCAAGAAATCACATCCGAACATCCAAAACAAGTTTCGTTCAGAACTCTTGAGTCTTGCGCCTGCGACCCCTCGTACTGGCAGTGGTCCTCGCAAGATCCCGATGCCATCGGAGCAGCCCCCAGCGGATCGGGAGTGCAATCCGAACAAGCCGAGTCGTACTTCCAAACCGCGACACCCTCATACTGGCCTAAGCTGCGTCAGTCTCCGTCCAATGGCAACCAATCCGAATTGGCAGAAAGCAAGCCATGCGCTACCAACATACCGCGACGATGTACCAACAGACCGCGACAACCGTAAGTAGCATCATGAAAAATAAAGGCGTTGCTGGATAGCCAAGTTGCAGTGGTCTGCGCATCCGGTGGATGCTTTGGAGTTAGACCCACTGGATGCCGTTTGCAACAGCATTTCCTGCACGAGGGCGACGGAGCATCCCGTGCACTCGCCGTCGTACTGCCAAACCAGGGAGCCTTCGTACTTGCAATGGTCCGCGCAAGTGGGCGTGGCCGCAATTGCGGTGGCGGGCATGGAAGCAGCGCAATCCTTGCAGCCCGGATCATAGCCCATAATGGCGGCACCCTCATACTTGCAATGGTCAGCGCAGCCGGTGGCTGATCCGCTCGTGGTCTGAAGCAGCGCCATTTTCTGCACCAGAGCAGGGGAACAGCCTTTGCAAGCATTGTCGTACTGCCAAATCTGGGCCCCTTCGTACTTGCAATGGTCTGCGCAGGTGGCGGTTTTGCTGGTGGGGCTGCTGGCTACGCAGCCCTGGCAGTCCGCGTCGTACTGCCACACCGCCGCACCCTCAAACTTGCAATGATCCGCGCAGCCAGTGCTTACTGCCCTGGGCGCGGGCTGCAAGGGCTGAGTTACGAATTACAACCTGCTGGTATGGCTTTCCTTGGTTTCATGCATGACACACACACACACAAACTTCGTGAATAGCAAGGGTGCACTGTGCAAACAGCTGATTTCCACATGCATCTGTATATGTACATATATACGCATACAAAGTTGCGCATGCATAGTATGCATACATACACGGCCACATCTCAAACCTAAACCAGCATCTAAGATTCCGTACGCACCATCACGCAAAGGACCCTACCCAAACCCGGAAAAAGAACGGGGTGCGCTCGCTGAAGCAAAGCGATGCTTTGGGCGACACCCTCTGAATTTCCCAAGCCTTGCAATGGATCCGGCAGTGTGGCCACAAGTTGGGGGTACAAGCGGCTAGTCCGTCCAGAAAGGCATCTAGCAGCCAGGCCGAAAAGCCCAACATCGCTGAAAAGGCTATGTATTTTCACTGCCGAAAGCACGCAGCCTTGACCCGAGTTGCCTAGCAATCCTGGAAGAACAAGAGTTGCAGTACATTTCACCACTTGGAGCTGGACCAAAATTGGCTTTCAGGCTTATCCGCACTAAATGTTTTTTGGACATCATTTTCACTTGGAGCTGTTCCAAAGTTGGCTTTCAGGCTTATCCGCACAAAATGTTTTTTGGACATCATTTCACTTGGAGCTGTTCCAAAGCTGGCTTTCAGGGACATCTGCACAATATGTTTTTTGGACATCATTTCACCACTTGGAGCTGGACCAAAGTTGGCTTTCAGGGTTATCCGCACAAGAACGGGAAAAATCCTTTCCACAACTTGGAGCTGGACCAAAGTGGGCCTGGGCCGGGCAGTTCGCAAAACACGCCTTCCGCGCCGGGGCGCTGCTTGGAGGCCTTGAACTGCAGGAGCTCTACCGCGGGCTCGTCGCACAAGACCTCCAAGGCCTCCTCTGCCAGCACGGCGGAGGAAGCCACCAGGGAGACCAGCACGAGGCGCGCCATGGCACAGCACTGTGGACAAAAGAGACGCAAAACGCTGCGGAAGGCGCGACGAAAGGCGAGGCGATTCGCGGAACGCAGCATGGCCCGGAGCTAAGAGCTTGGTCCCCAGTTTTTTCAGGAACTAAGGATGTGTTGGGTTGAAGAACACTGCAAATTCATCTTTGGCATCTTTCTTCGGTTTGCTTCGGCCTTGGGTGCCTGGTGAACCAGACTCTTTGCGTGTCGCAAGAGCACGTGCCTGTTTTTCGTTTTGATGTCGCAAGATGAGCATGACTGTCGTGGGCGCTCGCTCAGCGCCCACCTCCGCACAGGTAGGGTTCAACGAGTTGGCCACGTACGGCACGTCGCCTTAGCCCAAGCACCCCAGCGCCCACGCAGCAAAAAAACACTGCAACAGATTCGGCCGAGAACGAACGATTGTTTCCAATGAAGCAATCACATCCCATGACAAAGCCTGTCAAGCAGCCCTGAGGTGTGTCCACGGTGTGGCCATGTGGCTGTTGGCTTTACAGTACCAATTCGGTGTGGCTCAAAATTAAACAGGAGGGGTTACGCAGGTTTTGGTCCATGTTTCCACTTACCAGGGTTCCGTTTTGGTACCTGGCAGCTGGAGTCGCTTCCGGCCTCGCGTCTTTCAAAAGCTTCAGGCTCGAACCCGTTGGCCGGGTGGCAGGAATCCGCCTTGCACTCGAAGCTGCTTGGCTCCAGTTCTCCTCGCCTACAGGCCTTGGATGCTGGCAAATTTGCACATCGAACCACAAAACCCGTCAGTTGAGGAATCTCTGCTTTGGGCGCCTTGTTTTGGCTTCCATGGTTGATTGGCAGGGTCAGTCATGATAAGTCTCACTGGCCGTTTGGTGAACACCACGGATCTCAATTGAAGAGCTCAAATCGCTCTCCTTCGGGAACTCTCGAGGAAAGCAAACCTCTATCTGTCAGCAAACGTTTAGATCTGCCATACCCAACAGCTCCATGAGATTCATCTTTGCCCGGTGCATTCCTTCTCCGCGCAGGCCTTGCATTGCTTGTCGCCAATTTCTCCAACCACGGAGGCGAAAACCGCAGAAGGCCACCGAACTGCAAAGTTGCGGGCAACCCTTTCACAAAAACTTTGCGTGACAACAGCTACAGTGGGCACAACCAACAGCCAAGTAGCGGAACACAACATGTAAAGGATACGTTTATATACGCTTGCACGATCGAGAGGCTGCAAAAGCTGGGTCTGTGAAGGGAAGGTTATGCAAAGTTCGGACTGGCTTCTGCAAGGATCCAATTTCTGTGGCAACCCACGAGATATCGCATTAAGCGCTTTCACCTCTGGAGTCATAAACCCGGGTTTGACGCAACGTTCCGCACCTCGTGTTGACCATATAAGTTGACAAACCTCACAAGTGATTGTCACAACAAGTGAAATACACGCACATACATGCTCCATACGCGAACCGGACTGGGCTACCCCCGCAAAAACTGGCATGACCTTGGGCCTGGAAGGCTCTGAACATAGATGTCCCTCTAGGGGAAATAGATGGCCCTGGTAGATGATTAAACCACCAGGTAAGCCAGGGCCATCTATTTTTCTACCAAAACAACCAAAAAGGACACCTATGGCTCTGAAACTCGACCGCAAGCGCTTGCAAAAGTCGCAAAGGCCAGGCTCGGTCTCTGCTCAATCGAGCGCCCGTGTAGCTGATCAACCCAATATGCTCTTTTGCGGATGGAAAGAAAGCAACCAGCCAAGCACCAAGCACATTCTGCTGCCACAGTGAGCCGCCCAAAAAAAGGGAAAGTGCAAGACGCAAGAACTAAACGGCAGCAAACCTATTGGAGAGTGCCTTCTTCTTAGGAATGCATCACCTCGATCATACCAAGTCTGTAAGGAGCTCCAGCTATTCGCACTCTCTGCATCCCCAACGACGACCAGCTTCCTTTCAGCCTCATGCAGCCAGGGCGGCCAAGGATGTTTTGGATGGGCTGTACCCAGCCTCGGCTGGACAAAACCCGGGCTAATGGGAGTGGGCCCGATTGAAATCCTAGTGCAGAATTCGGCGCCTGGCCTTACCATGTGGCCATGGGTCAAAATCCAAATCGTACCCCCAGTGAACATCCCAATCCCCACTAATAGACTAAAATGGGTGGCGCACCTACCCCCAAACGGTACAATTGGTTTTGACCCACAGCCATATTTCGCCCAGCTGCCAACATGCTTGCCTGCAAAAGAACCAATAGCGCAATTGATGGATTCCCAGCAAGCGACGTCAGCAACACAAGGTTCGGTCTGCTCCGCAAGGCCGAGCAGTTTTGGTAGCACCAGAGTTGAAATTTCAACACTAAGAAGGCCAAACGATCATTTCACTGAAAAATGAAAAACAGCTTTGGGGCAGCAGGGACCAAGAGCAATCCGCCTAGGCTCTTGAGCCGGTGATTAGATCTCGGGAGCAAAGCGACCGAGAGGAAAGTATACATCTCTACTCTTGGTATGGGCTTGCAAGAAACTGACCGGTTTTTGCAGCCCCCAGCAAAAAAGAACAGTAAAAACCAACAAAACATGCTAAGAACAGTGAAGTATAGTAGAAGAATTGGTACGAGTCAATACTTGAGGCCCCCCATAGCCCCCGCCCCCCGCTGAGTTTAGGGCGTGTCTTTTGCTTGTTACTTCTCGTGGCGCGAGGTGACGTGTCAAATATTTTGGGCAATGTCTCTGGGCTTCATGGGCACGTTTGGTTCTCAAAACTGGCGAGTTCAAAGCGTTCTGCTTCTGGCTTGCCTCAGGCTGATGGTGTTTTTGCTTCGGCTGATGCTAGCCTTTGGGTTTCAGCACCCGCTGAAGCGGACTTGCGTTTTTGTTGCTGGGGGAATTCTGGGACTTGCTCCGGACAAACGGCCATTTTTGTCTGCGCGTTCTGCGAATAGCCGGCATGTTTTTTTTTTTGGGGGGGGACGCCTCAAGCAACTCCAACCCCGATATCATCAATGCCCTGACTTCAGCTCACCCGGGGCCGGGTCATTGAAAGGGCCCCTTTTGCCCAAGGAATTGGGAAGGAATCAGGTATGGATACTCAGAGAAGGTGGCCACAGGCGACCCTGATTGAACCAGCCCATGATGAGCTTTGATGAGAAAGGACCGACAAACAAATCGATGCCCCAGTAAAACCAAAAACACATCGTCCGTTGCGCATGTGTATTTAACTTAGAAGGCTGTGCCACTGTCTTTCGGATGAAGCAATGTCATCCATTCCATCACGGGCTGAGTCCTGCTAGTAAGGCCAAGCACAGCCAGGACACCCAAAAACAAACAGCTGCCAGAAAAAAAGCCGCAACTAGGCCATCTACTAAACTTGAACAGCCTCACTGCTTCAGAACATCACAGGAAAGCAAACGTCAGTTTTCTCCGAAATGGACCTCTGATTGATTCAAGCAGCGTTGCACCGGGGAGTGCAAGTCTTGCCGCCGGGAATGGTGGCTCCCTCTTGGCAAGCCACGGTCGGCGCGTTCGGGACGCCTGTGGCGCCATAGCCACAGTTTGCCAAGAACGGTGGGTCCGGGTCAAGAAACTATGCAGGCCCGACACCATCTGAGTTCCATGCATGACCCCCCAAAGCTGCACAAGACATGCACACATTTTAGCCATCTGATATGACATTCAAGGGCTCTTTGGGGATCACCGAGGGTCATTATTCCTTTGCCCCGGCCAAGAGCTGTGAGCAACTTCAGGTCTCGGTGGATACCCCCCAACAGTTGCGCTGTGCGTGCGAGCGTGCGGGTGCGTGCGTAGCAAATGTATCGGTCCTCAACCAGGCCTGTGACAGCTGCACAGTCATCTTGCGCACAAATGTAGCTGTTGGGCGAGAGCGTGCCAGCGAAGCACTCAAGCTTCGCCTCGGCAAGCATTGGCCTGAAATCTGATCCAAGCACTTGAATTTCAGCGCCTCGCGGAGTGCATCCGCGTTTGCATCCTACCGCTGCTTCCTTCACAAGGCTTGACATGCCAGCAGGCAGCCAGCAGCCCTGGAAGCAAGCACAACACATCTTTTGTTGTGGCCATGCCGTGATGCCGCGATGCCGCGATATGCTGTAACTTGGGGCATATATTCTCCCTCGAAGGGAAAGGCCACTCAGAGCAGCGCACACACACACACACGCACACATATATGAATGTATTTGTATATGTATTAGCTCAAGCTCACCAAACCAGGGTCCACCATGTATATCTATATTATGTATGTGCATAAGACATGTTTCTGCATCTATAGATTCTCGCGCATGGTTGACTTCAATCCAAGACACCACCGACGGAGTGTAGCCATTGCTGCACTCGGTCTCGCAAGTCGCACCCGAAGCAACCACCGTGCCCGGCATGCCCTTGCAGCCATTGCCCTTGCGGTCGGTCGCCTGGAGCTGCACTTGCATAGCCCATCTTCACCCCAAGAGGATTGAGAAGGGGGGGGGCGGGGGGGGGCTGGGGGGGGAGGGGGGAGGGGGGGGAGGGGGGGTGAGAAGGGGGGGGGGGAGGGGTAGGGAAGATTTCACCACACGGCTGAAGGCTGAAGAAATGTGGTAATAGCCTATTCTCGACCAAAGCTGCTGCCCGAGGACTCACATGGGCAAAACAGTCTCTGGACTTAAGTGCAATCCCTCCCTCTGGCAGGCTCCGAAACCAGTTGAATCTTTACACTCCTTTCCCCGACCGCGCGAGAAACAACCAGGACACAATCATGGAACTGCATGATGTACATGAGAGCATTGGCGGAAAAAAAAGGGGGCGGGGGGAAAAACCGCATGCAAGGCGCTTAAACATGGGAACTGCGCGAGAGACGCAACAGCCGACACGCTGCGCGCCTTTGGCATGGGGCAAGGATCTGCGCTACACTCGAAGGTCGCGGGTGTGAGCATCTCTGCGCTGCAAGTGAGCTCTGCCACTGATGGAGTGTAACCTGACGGGCCAGGTACCCAGAAATGGCACGGACGAATCTTTCTGCTTTCGCCAAATGCAGAAAGCACAGAGAGCAAAATAGAATGACACATGCGTCATGTTCACTTCCTGCCTAGAGCCCTTCAACTGAGATAGAAACCGTTGTGCGCAGCCTTTGCTCAATAGGATGCATCAGGATGCTTGACTTCTCCAAGCCCCAAATCAAGGAGACCGCCCTTGAATCAGTTGGGATGAGAAAGCTCACTGCGGAAGCATGAACCGATCGTCAGAATTGCTGAGAACATGACATGATACCCTGCCATCTTTGGTTCAGGCCCTGTAGCAAGTGTGAATTGAAACCGTGAAGTTTCGGGCGCGCTTTTTGTTCGGCATCTCCCAGCTTGCAAAGAGATGCCTTCCGTTCACAATGGCCTTGAATCTTAATGGGGAACCCCTGGAAAAGTGATTGGTGGACAAAAATTCCCCACCTAAATGATGTCCACCAAAGGGTCCCTAACTCAAATTCATACCCACAAAGCACTGGTTGATAATTAGGTGAAAGTGCCAAGCTGACGCCGGCGGCACTGGGGCCAACCACCTCCAAGCGACTCAAGCCATGGGCAGGTACCATCTGATGGGTCAAAATATGGGGATCCCCAACATGGCCGCTCCTCTTTTTGCGCCCCCCCCCCAAAAAAAAAAAAAAAAAAAAACACATGGGACCCTCAAAAACGCCCGGACCCCGCACCTCCGCGTTTTGGTGTCCCTCAGAACCTGGGACCCTGGGACCGAGCCTCAGAAAACCCACCGGCTCCCGGACCTCCGAGCGCCGAGTGCCCATCCGAGCCGAGCCGATCCGATCCGATGCGCCTCCCAGGCACTGGGTGGTGCACTTGGTGCCCGAGGCGATGGAGTCCCCGGGGGCGCCCAGGCAGCCGGAGCCCGCCTTGTTCTGCACCGCCGGGATGCGGCAGGGCTTGGGGTCGCACCTTGGCCGAACCGCCGCAAACGCCAGGAATTGGCGTCCTTTCGGGAAAATAGATGGGTTTCCCTGGTAGATGATTGAACCGGGTAAGCAACCACAAATTGGTGTCCGTTTTGGAAAATAGATGGCCCAGGTAGAACCAGGGAAACCAGGACCTTCTAGTTGTTTAAGGCAAAACAACAAAAAAGAAAAGGACACCTATGCTCAAACATGGGAGGCGAACGATTTGGGGTTTTGGAAGCCAGGAATTCTGGCAGCAGGTGAAATGCTGGCCCGAGTAGGCACCGTATTCGCCTGCTGCAGCAGCCAGAAAACCTGAAGCCCGACCTCTTTCCAGCTGAGGAGCGTGTAGCTGGAGGGCGTAAACATGCTGGCATAACAGTTGAGCTTTGGCACAGAGGGCGCATAGCCATCCTGGCACTTGATCTCGCACGCGGAGCCAGAATCGACCTGAGGCATCACAGGATTTTTGGCCCAGCTGGTCGAAACCAACGCTTTGTGCTTGTGCTCGCCTTTCGGAAAAATAGATGGCCATG